TTGCTTTTTCTTCTATTTTGTAATCTTTCTTTGATGAATTTAATGTTTGCATTCATGTAAATTCCAGAGCTGATAATGATTATCCAGTCAAATCTCTAGGTAATGAAAATTTTCTTCCAAGCTGAAGATCACTGTTCCTTAATGCTTCATAGCTGACTTTTAGACCAGATGTTCTTCCTTCCTTCGCTTGCACCGTGACTTGCACTGCTAGAGCTGCTGCCATGGTAATTGCATCAACCCCAAGCCCTTAAGGTAATGAGCCCAACTTATACAATCCCAATGCTTGAGGAGAGTTTGTATTGTAGGCATTGTATCCAACTCCAACTGTCTCTTTAATATCTCTGTGATTCCAGCATTGTCTGCTTCAAGTTCCATTCCAAATTTAGCAAGTTCCTGGTCAAGTTTTCTCACATGATGGTCTACCAAATCATACATTTAATTAGCCAGCTGTACTTTTTCATCTGCATCTTCCAAAGCCTTATAATAATTGTTTTTGATTGATGTTGTTTGTTCTTCTCTCTATTCAGGTTTGTTTTTCTTTATGTTCATTAAAAAAATCATTTACCTTCTATTCAAGCTGATCCATTGCATTCTGCACATGCAGGTTCATCCTGTGCATTTCAGTGAACCTGTCATGAAGATTCATGGGCCACTGCTTGATCCTGTCCAGATACAGCATGGCAGTGGCAGGGCTTCTCACTAACATCAGCTCATCCCTTCCCATATGGAAGGCTCAGACTCAAGGGTAAGCAATGTGTTCCTGGCATATACTTTGCATGTAGTGACAGTGATCACCACAGAAACAATTATTAGACTAGAATTGTCCATCTCCTGGTGAAGAGAAGTCCTGATGGCATGGAGAAGAACTTCATTGTGTTTTTAGATATTCAAGAGAGAGGTAACATCAATGATACTAAGAGGAGCTGAATTTTAAAGAAGTTCTATTAATCCACGGAATTACTGGGGAGATGATCTTCTAACTGTAGAAAATGAAGGGACCTTGAATGAGCATTTAGAAGAGAGGTTTGTTAATATGATCAATAAATGCAGAAAGGCTGATGCAAAACCTTGAACGCCGCAATAAACTGTACAAAAGGAATGTGAACAATTATTAGAAGTTACTGGTCTGAATATGATTTAGTCCAGTTAATTAGAGATGAACTAGAACCTAATGACACAGCTTTCATCCTGCCACCATGCCTTGTGCTGGGAAATATTTTGGACACATAAGAAGATAACACTTCCGCAATCTTAACCCAAGCTTCTGGTGTTACTGCAGCCACAGAGATCAATTTTAGCATCTGGAACACACTCCTTCCTCTTGCCTTTTCCTTTTATAATTCATCTCCAGAAATAGGCATCAGGCACTCCTCTTCTGGCAGCCTTTCAGCACACTAATTCTTCCCCATTTTCCAGACTTGGGGGGTAATGTTACTAATCATAGACTCTCCTGTGACTTCAGGAGGGGCAGAAGCTCCTGCTGGCTCTGGCATGTTTTCTTCTTAAAGAGACAAACCAGATGGGAACTCCTGTGCCACTGTCTCTGTTATAGCTCTGTTACATTACAATCTTATTAAAAATACTTCAGCAGATGCAGAGCTAATTCATTCAATAATGTAAGGCTTTGTCCACACTATAGCAACTAAATAATAACTGATGAACTATAAATCTGAGAGTATCTTTTTGCTCACTGTTTCTCAGTGTTCTTCAGCTGGTGACCTTATCTGTATTTACCAAATGCACACTGAAAGCACAGATAAAAATGTAAGCTACTTTCCTAGGGTCCTATCACTGTAGTTGTTGAGTCTTTTACATATGTGCAATACATGCTACCCTTCTTGGTACTGTAAAGTGAGGTAAGACAAAATAATGTGGAGAGGAACATTAATTCAAATGATGAAAAATGAACAATGTTTTCTTTACTGGCTAGCACAGTTTGGTTGTCCATATATAAACAAGGCCATAAATAACCATTCTTGCATCTTTCTCACTTCTGCAAAAGGAAAGCACGTGGGATTTGCTTGAAGTTTCAACCTCAACCTGCTGTTACAGCAAAGGACCTCACAAAGGAGGACCTCACAAAGGAGGACCTCACAGACTGCTAAGGATGAGAGGATTTGGCAAATAGGGGGAGCACCACATTTTCAGTCTGTCACTCCCTCTCACTTTCACCAGAAATTGCAGCCTAACCAAGCTCCAGCAACCAGCCTGAGAAATCCTACTCAGTACAGACGTCATGCTTTCAAGGTTCAGCAGCAAGTGAATGCTGACCACAATGTGGTAACAGCAATAGAAATTCTTTCTAGATGTGAGAAAAGAAAAATACTCCCCATAATGTCATCGCAGTGCTGGATAGGAGCCCAGGCACAACAGTAAACTCGCACACAAAAGCAGCTGAATAGAAAGGCTCTGAGCAATCTCATCCAGACGGGGAGCCATGTGTCCCTGGGGCTGGACTGGAGATATCAAGTGGCCCTGCCCAGCCTGAATTATCATGGTATCAAAGTTTGTACTCAACTTCCAATATAGACATCAGTGAAATTCTCATAAGCATGAATGCATTTTATATTTCTTTTATCTTGGCATCAGCATTTTTTTTTTTCTAATATAGTTGTGTCTAAGAATCCCACCAAAAGAGCAGAGCTTTATCACAGCATGAAGTGGACATTATGCACATTGGTTATCATGAAAATGTTTAAGTAAATCCACTGAAAGTAATTCAAGAAGAAAGTGAGGTATCACAGCCCTCTATGGATAAAGAATGGTGCAAAGACTGTTAAGTGCATCTGAACTAAGCAATCTTACCACAGCCCATGAGGTGGTAGTGTCCTCCCTCAGCCTCAGATCTCTACTGCAAAGTACACTTCCTTCATGCCTGCTGCTAGTGGTCTCCTGGTTCATTCTGGAATCTTGAAAGGATCCTGTCCTCCACAGCTGGTGGCAGAAAAGAGTCGAACTCAGAGGTCTCTTTTCCTTTTTACTTGCAGAGCTTCAGCAGCTTCACAGCATCCTCTACTGCCGAAGAACAGAATCAAATCAGAAGCCTAAGCTTCTGAGTGAATGTTATCACTTTATACCCTTATTCAAACTACTTGACAAAGAAAAGAAGCAGATAATGAAGCCCCAATTCATGTTAGGGACATCACAGAGGCAAGGGTGATCTCCTCTTGGATACAATTGGTGTAAAACACTCCTTAAATAATAGTAACTCACTGTTACCAAGAATTGCAACATGCTATCATACAAATCTTGCAGGATCAGGCTTATAACACCGCTGCTATTTTTCTCAGGATAATTCTGATGTGGGTCCTCAGTCAATAATTTATAAAAAATTAGTAAATCTGCTTCTTGATTTGAAAGAAAACTCTCAAAGCTCAGTTCAACAGTACCCACAGTTGTCACTCGCATGCTGGCTTGAGGAAAACTGTGGCTTTACTCGTTTGCTAAAGCCTTTGGTCAGTGTGTCCGTCCTTCATTGTACTGTCTCATGGCTGATGTAGCTCAACTCAGAGCAGCTAAGAAAAGAGAAAATCAGTTTAATGGACACAGTGCCAATACTGGCACACACACACACAAAAAAAAAATCAACCTTGGAACTGTAAATTGGTGCTACGTAGAGCCTTTCCATATCTGGCTCTATGATAACCATATTTCTTCTCTCTCTTATTATGTGGACACTGAAAATAGTATCTCCTGTTTATTCCCATGGAAACTACAACAGATACAAGGAGCACAAAAACAGTATTTGACAGAGAAAATTCTCGGATAAAAACCAGTATTTTTCAACACAGGCACTATGGTGAGCTGTGCATTTTCAGCAGCAGTGAACAAGAATGCAGCATTTGTCAAAATCTCCACCTGTGGAGGTGACCACTGTTGCCATCACCGGTGCTGACACGTACCACTGCCTCACTGTGCTCACATCCACTGTTTGGTCTCCAAAAACGTTCATCAAGTGTCAGCGATGGTCAGTGAAGGTCAGTGGGAGCCTTTTTTTTTCCAAATGGAGGAATTCAATTCCTTTGCTTCATCCGCACTCCCACGTCAGATGTCGTTCTGTCAGACTGCCCCTCTGCTGCCATCTGTCGCACAGCAACAGCATGTAAGGGAATGTTGGTGGGAAGGTTCGACCTCTGCTGCCATACCACCATCTGCCCCTGGCAGTGTGGGCCGACATGATGAAATAGGGAGCATTACTTTCAGAACGGCTCTTGTAGAAGAAAAAAAATAAAAATAAAAATCTACTTCAGTACATAAAAATGTACTTCAGCTTCAGTGATTACAAGGAAAGTTTAGGCGTATATCCTCTGAGATCTGTGGGAAGCATTCCGACTGCTCTCCACAAGTAGGTCAGGCGTTTACAAGACCAGCACTGAGCATGAAAAGCAGCTATGCAGCACACAGACACATCTTCTCCATGCCTGAACCTGCTCAAGTCTTGACTCACGTCACAGATGCTTTGCAGCCGTGGTGACGATCCTACCACGGAGAAATGTTTTACGTGAGAGACAAGTTGGCTCCTGCCTTCACACCATACCGACTGCCGTGCTCATGAACGCTACGTAGACATCGCAATTTGACCCTCACAGACTTTGAATCATTAAGGTTGAAAAAGATTTCTCAGATCACCTATTCCAGCTGTCGTCCTATCCCCACCATGCCCACTAACCGTGTTTCTCAGTGCCACATCTACACGGCTCTTAAACACCTCCAGGGACCGGGGGGTGAGGGGGGGAACTCCACCACCTCCCTGCGCAGTGCCCTGTCAGTCTGAAACGTTTCCTTACGTCCTCCCCAGCACGAGAGGAATCACCTCTCGTCCTATAAGGAATTCTACCGAGTGAAATAAGCCACAGAAGAAACAAGAAAACGGTTGTGCTTTGGGGGCCGTCTAAGAACAAGAAGAAGGAGACGTTATTGACGCTGCAGGGCTCTATCTGCTCCGCCCCGCTCCGGCCTTTCTGCCGGGATCCCGCCCCGCCGCGGTCGGTGGCAGAGCGCCGCTGGTGCCCGTCATGGCGGCAGCCGCGCAGCTGCTCCGCGGGGCCGCCCGCGCCCCGCCCGCCCTGTCCGCCGCGTCCCGCCGCTGGCTGGGCTCCGCGCCGCCGGGGGTCCCCGCGGTCCGAGGCGGGCGGCGCTGGGCGCTGGCGGCGGCGGGGGCGCTGGGCGGGCTGGGGCTAGGGCTGTGGCGGCGGCGGGCCTCCATGGCGGCGGCCGAGGAGGAAGAAGAGGAGGAGATGCGACGGCGGTTCATGGCGCCGCCGGTGAGCGGGCTGCGGGAGCTGCGGCGGCGGCGGCGGGAGCTGGGGAGCCGCATGGAACTGCTCATCATGGAGACGCAGGCCGAGGTGTGCCGCGCCCTGGCGGCGCTGGATCCCGGCGCCTCTTTCGCCGTGGACACCTGGGAGAGGAAGGAAGGTGCGCGGGAGGACGGGGCGGCCGGGGGCGGCGGGGCGCGGTGGGCTCCCGGCCCTCGGTGACCCGGTGCGGCGTTGGCAGGCGGAGGAGGCATCAGCTGCGTGCTACAGGACGGAGAGGTCTTCGAGAAGGCCGGCGTGAACGTGTCGGTGGTGTTCGGACAGCTGTCCGAGGAGGCGGCGAGGCAGATGAGGAGTAGGGGGAAGGCCCTGAAGGCCACCGAGGATGGTAAGGGGACCGCGAGGGGGGAGGGAGTGAAGAAGGGGCGCTCTGATATAGTATTTCAGAGGAGATTCGGGCTGGGTGTTAGGAAAATGTCTTCTCAGAAAGAGTGGTGAGGCGTTGATGCAGGCTGCCCATGGAGGTGGTGGAGTGACAGTCCCTGGAAGTGTTGGAGAGCCGTGTAGATGTGGCACTGAGGGATGTTTTAGTGGGCATGGGTTGACAGTTGGACTAGGTGATCTGAGAGGGCTTTTCCAACGTTAACAATTCTGTAATTATCCCCTTTTTGCTTTTTTAGGACAAATGTAGAAAAAGGCTTTTAATGAGGCGCGTAAAAATATGTGGATGAGAAGCAAATTTCACACAGAGTAATCATTATTGTGAAATTCTCTTGTAGCCGAATGACAGCTTGAGAACTAAGGATAGATAGCAATGTTGCTTAAAAGGTAATAAATGAAGTTATTTGAAAAACTCTAGATTTTCTTTCTGTGCATCTTTTTACCTAGGAAAACTGCCTTTCTGTGCCATGGGTGTAAGCTCCGTTATTCATCCAAAGAATCCTCATGTTCCAACCATGCACTTCAACTACAGATACTTTGAAATTGAGGAAGCTGATGGTAAGAGCTATAAGTCGGTGCACTACACTTGACGTGTACCACTCTGTATGAAGGAATTGTGAAGACGTGGCTGGGCTAAGAGGTTAAGAACCAGCAGATCTTTTTTCCCAGCTGTGGGAAGAACCTGTTGAGTAGCACTGCTTCCACCACTTTAATAGAAGAAAGGAACAATGATTTATTTTGTATTGTGCAAATAGTTGTTCTTGGTGAAGCACTAGCAATGTATTTCTGTTTGGAAGGTGGGCTTTTTGGTTTGTGTTTCTTTGTTTTCTTTTTTTTTGATGTTGTTGCTTGCTTCTCTCCTATAGGAACCAAACAGTGGTGGTTTGGTGGTGGAACAGACCTCACTCCGACTTACTTGAATGAAGAAGACGCTATACATTTCCACAAGACTCTGAAAGAAGTTTGTGACAAGCATGATCTCAAGCTGTATCCCAAGTATAAGAAATGGTATGTGAAAGATGTACTCGGATCCCAAAGTTTTGTGAGAGCAGAAAGCAATGTTAAAAATTGCCAATTAAGTGTATTCTAAGAACAGTAGGTTCTCTTCTCCAATCTGGTGTCAGCAGACCCTAGTGAAAATCAGCAAATACATACTCTGGGACAAAATGTAGTCTGAAGCAGTCTCTTATTTATAGAAGCCTGAGATAGCTGACAGCTGAGATCTGTAAACTGAATAAAAAAATAAGCTGACTCTACAAGATTTTGTAAGCCACAGACCTCATTAGGCATCTTAAATGCTCTTTTACCCTCTAGTGTCAAACTAGGGTGAGATTTTTGCCTCGGAGGCTGTGACTTTAGACTTGCACTTATTCTGCTTATGGTGAACTCATGATAAATGTGCATGACTGAATTCCACTGAAGTTATTCTTCATTCAACATATCTTTCATTATCCTTCTTTCTTCCTTTTTTTTGGCAGTGTAAGTAAAGGAGCTTCTCCTTAATGTAGAAGTTTCATGATTTTGATGAAGCTGTAGTTTTGTTCCAAGTGATATATTCACATGGAGTTCAACAGTGTATTCTCTAAATGTTCCTCTTGAGCTGAGAGATTGATGGAATCCTTCCCTACTGCTCAGTGGGGGCTTGCTGCTCTGTCTCTGATAATCCTATCTGCTGCAAGCTATGGTATCCAGAAAGGACGGTTAGCCTTTTGTCACCTACCAGGTCTTGTCTGAGGACTGGAGATAACATGGGTGTTGTAGCTTGGGTGTGAACCACTTAGTCCAGGAGCACACCTTAAAATTTTAAGATTACAGTCTGTCTGATTAATTTTTTGCGTGCTGGTTCAGAATGCCTACCCTAATGGTCATATTGTTTGCAGGATAAGGAGGCAAGCAACACCAGCATCTGGAGATCAGAGAGATGGATGTCTGTTCTTAGTCTGAGGGACAGCTCAAAGGAGGACATTTGTCCATTGTGTTCAGTGGACAAAGGCGGTTTTCCCAATCCCAGCATGAGCATTTGTTGTAAGCAGCAGCTGTGTAGGGGCATGTCATTCTCATTGCTGGAGGACTGTGAATCTCCTCTGTATTTCTAATTTGTATTGCCTTTTTTCCATCTTTTGTCAACCAGAAAAGGTCTTGTTATGTTTGCCACATTGCCTTCCTGATCCAGCTTCAAAACAGCCTTTTTTTCCAAACTCTTCCTGCTGCTGTAAAATAAAAAAGCTTGATCATCTCAGTGAATGAAAAAAATAACTTAGGTTATCTATTTCCCTTTTTCTTCCTCTATGGCTGTGCCATTTATACGGCTTGTTAACAGTAACTGTGGATGGACACGTGTATGGTGTGCTAGTTCTAAAGGAAGACAGGATTTCTGCCTTGTTGCTGGGTTCTGCTTCCCTTCCATTTCTGCCCTAGGTGAAGACTTGCAGGGTATGGTTGCCTAAGCAAGTTGGGTGTGGATACAGTGAATCAGCTGACTTACAGTAATTGCATGCCTACACACTCCCAGTGAATACAAAATAGATTAATTTCCTCCTCATTATAGGATAAGCTGCACATATTCTTTCATAAAATTGACAGTGAGCTGTGAATAGCCAGTGCCAGAATGTCTCAATCTTCCAAACTTAAACTGTTATAAAGTCTTTTTCCAGGGAAGACTGCCTCACTTTTTTTTCCCTTCCTTTTATGTGACAGTGTCTTTTTTTTATCCAATCTTGGGTTTGCTGTTTTTTGGTTGTTTTTTTTTTTTTTTTTTTAAGTTTTGGTGCAGAAAGTCAATTTTTTCACAATAATAGCAAAAAGAATAAAGAGATTATTTCTAAGTTTATTGCTTTATTTCACGTTTGTCTGAAAGCTGTACAAATACTCTGGAATCTGTATATATTTCAGGGAGTGAAATCTAGAAAGACCTGTGAGGGTGAGCTTTTGAAGTCAGGTATCCCTCCTTCTCATAGGTAGAGAATATGGATTAGATGACTATTAGATGACTACACATGAAAACGTTTGCCATGGTCACTGACTGTTGTACGTTCAGTGGCCACAGCTTTGCGATGCCCATTTAATCAGAGCTTCCAGTGATTGCACTCTGCATGGGGCTGTACAGTACTGCTCGTAACAGTCAGTGAAACAGTGAGGCGCGTGGCACTGTAAGAACTGACTTCCCATCACTATTTCACTAGTGCTGTCCTGTGCTGGGTAGCAGTTGAAAGTTTTTTTTTTTGTGGGTCCAATTAATAACTGTCTGCTGCCCCATCTAGGTGTGATGACTACTTCTATATCAAGCACCGTGATGAGCGAAGAGGGATTGGAGGCATATTTTTTGATGACATGGACTCTCCTTCCAAGGAGGAAGTATTCCAGTTTGTACAGAGCTGTGCCAAAGCTGTTGTGCCTTCTTATGTTCCCATTGTAAAGAAGCACTGCCATGACTCCTACACACCAGAGGAGAAACTGTGGCAGCAGCTTCGGAGAGGACGGTGAGTGTCAAAGGAGCAAAAGAATGCACGGGAGGTGGATGAGACTGGTTAGAATAAAATGAGCTAGTTCTTCATGGTCACAGGGCTTATTTCCTGAAGTGCATTTTATACCCTGTCATGGCGTGAGGTAAGTTCACTTCAGAGTTGCAACATTTCTGTGTACAGAACAATTCTTGATATTCAATGCTAGCTTGCTGGGGAGGATGCAGAAAAGGTACTAGCACACCCTCATCTGTACCTCTCACTCTCCTGTGTTGCAGCAACATAAGCAACCCATACAAAATGCTGCTGTTTCTCTCAGATTCCTTTAAAAAACAAGAGAAGCCGCTGCGTTTTGTAACAAGCAAAGGGGTGCATGTGTGCACAGTGTCCTGAATCCCACCTTCTACAGACCAGTGATTTGCCCTGTCACATGAGGAGCATAAGGGTAAGGGAGTCATCCAATAATTCTGAAGCTAAGCCCCAGAAAGGCACCAAATGACTGTACCCAACAGTGCTTTCAGTTTCTTACATACATACTTACTCTGATATTTTTCTTTCATTGAAATGAGTATGCCATGAACTCTTTGCAAAGGAATAAAGATACAGAGGGGTTTTGTTTTTCTGTTGTGGCAAAAAGTCATTGGAACTTATAAGATTTTTGAGGATGTGTGTTACGATGAAGGACCATTAATGCTGCAAAAGCTTAAGTTTATCAGTCAGTACTCTTGTCTCTGTCCTATCTGAGCATATGGAGAAATCATATATGTGCTCTGTGCAAAAATAGGAAGTATTTGCTTGCTGCCTTTTCTGCAAAGAAACCTGTAAATGTGGCATGAAAATGGCATAACCAAGTTTCAATCACGGGCCTGCAACAGTTACCCCCAAATAAGCACATCTGCTTAATTTGGTGGAACTGTTTCCTGGAGCATTGGGCTTTCAGGATCCATTCTGTGAATGGAATTCAGCAAACCTGGTAAGATTATATAGCTTCTTCAAGCTGCATCCAGGACTAGCTCAGCCTGCTTATTGCACTGAACCAGTCTGCAGATTATTGGGCTAGCCAAAGCTTTCTATTTCCGCAAATAGTAAGGGTTCCTCTCTTCCCGTTGGTCTCTTAGGCACTAATATTTCCATACTGGTTGTTGAGGTAACCCTGCAGAATTGTTACTGCTCTGTTTGTATGCTGAACAGTTGGCTTCAAAGTGGGGTTCATTCTGACACTCTGTTTTTGTTTGATGTCTGCTATCTGAAGAAAGCACAACCAACTTCTGATAATAAGTGTTCTTCTGCTGTATCTTTGCTCCCTGTAGGTATGTGGAGTTCAATTTGGTTTATGACAGAGGTACAAAATTTGGCCTGCTGACACCAGGATCGAGAATTGAGAGCATTCTTATGTCTCTGCCACTGACTGCAAGGTAAGGGAATAGTTGTATGGAGTTACAAGCAGGCACTGTTCTTGCTGAAATACTTCATAGGATTAAATCAATGGTCTGTTTTGGTCTCTAGTCTCTTAACACTGGTTGGTTCATGCCTGATACAAGAAGTGGCCAAATATATGCAGGTCCTTGTCTGTTCTGCTACGCTCACTCATTCACCAGTAACATAACGTTTGGATACTTTTTTTAATGCTTACTTAGTGCCTCTTGATAGATTTCCCCTGCTTCTTCTTTGAGTGTTTTTGTAGTAGCTCTTTGGAAAGCAGGTGAACTTGCAGTCTTGACAAGCCTGTGGCAAGAAGTTTTACAGTTTAACATATATTGTTTGAAAAAGTGCCTTTTTTTTTTTTTTTTAAGTGCTGCTGGCTCATACAGTGGCATAAGGATGTTATCATTCATTATGATTAATCTTAATATGCTGCTTGCTAGTTTTGAGATGGCTGTTTCATAGAACTGTTACAACGCCACCATCTTATGTGGGCAGTAAAAGTTAACTCAGTCTCTCAATGTGTGGGTATTTTCTCTCTGTGCACTTAATTTAGAACAACAGCAAATTGCACCTAACAATGTTCAGTGATTTGGCCTGCAGCTTTGCATCCTCAGGAGAGGCAACTGCAGGCAGCAGAGCAGTCTAAATGTGTTTCCCCTTTCTCTGCAGGTGGGAATACATGAACACACCTCCAGAGAGCTCAAAGGAAGCTGAAATTCTGGAGGTTCTCCGCAATCCCAAAGACTGGGTGCACTGATGTGGATCGTGAAGAAGGTGGATTGCTTATACTGAGCCATTACAGAAGAAGAGGAAAGCCTGCAAGCCAGCTCCTCTGAACTGCTGCTGCACGGCGTCTTAGTATAGCTATTTATACTCTTACCCTGGTGCCTTAATGATGATGCTGTAGACTTGTTGTAACTTGCAAATATGTGACCTCTTTCTTTAAGAGAGATCAGCTGATGTTGTCATCCCTTGTTGATGTTGCCTTGTGAAGGACTGGTGATACCCTCCCAGGGCTAGTGTGCATGCTTATGAACTTCTTCAACTGATTTGTGTGTGATTGCAAAATGTTAAACTACTGTGAAGTGTTCCCCCAGTGGAATTAAAGCACTATCTGTGCCTAGATGGCATTGCTTACTTGAAAATAATGTTGGGATGTTCTAGAAATACTTTTTTTAAAGAATAAACTGAATATTTGGTATGAGTTTAAGTCTTTAAATCTGCTTTCATGAACCTGTGAAAAAGACAGCACCATGTTTCATCTGGAGGCGGAGAACAGTGGAAACTGGGTTAGAGTCCCATTTGCCTGCTGGATACAAGAGTTGGCTGTACGCTTTAAAGAGAAGCTCTTGAGTGCTGCGCTCCCTAGTTCTCTTACCTGCAGTCAACCACACCAGCACTTCCTCTCTGCCCATTCCTTGTCAGGAAGGATGGCTTGGAAGCTGCTTGGTGTGGCCCTGGGCTTCCTGCACAGACCTGGCTGCTCCGATTGCCCTTTCTGCTTGCAGTGTGACCTTGGACTGAGTGCACACTCAGTAAATTGCAGATGACACCAAGTGGGAGGATGTGTCAAGTCTGCCTGAGAGGAGGAACGCTCCATGTGGATCAGGATAGGCTGGACAGAGGTGCTGAGGGCAATTTTATGTGCTTTACCAAGACAAAAGGCTAGGTTCTGTGCTTTGCTCACGGTTGTGTAGTTGTGACACTGAGGGATGGCAGTGATGGATCGACAATTCTACAAAGTTACCTTAATGATCTTTTCCAACCTTAATGATTCCTTCCAAGATGGGAAAAGCAAAAAGCTGCTCTGCTGGAGAAAGAAAAATAGTGCTACTGTCTCCCCGTCGGGGAATCGAACCCCGGTCTCCCGCGTGACAGGCGGGGATACTCACCACTATACTAACGAGGAGTAGTTAAGAATCCCCCTTTCCGCTGGGGCATCCTATGACGTCAGCGCTTCCGAGCTGTGAGCTGGTACAATGGGTTCCGTGCACTTTTGATCCTAAACTGCCCCAGCTGCTTATCCCGGCGCTGCAGGACCGACAGCCACTCTCACTAACAGCCAGAGGGCCGGCTCGGACCCGCTGCTTTTTCTCTCCTTTTGCAAAGAAACACCTAACGGAGAGAGCACGCAGACATCTTCGTAGGGGAACGTGCTCGCGAATATTGCAGCCTTTCCTCACTAATCAATGAAATCAACAAAAACATCAAAATATAGCTGGCCCGTACGGGGATCGAACCCGCGACCTTGGCGTTATTAGCACCACGCTCTAACCAACTGAGCTAACCGGCCACTGTGGAAAACTACATACTTGTGTCCACAGCTCAGCGGTCCTTCCGATGCCCTCTGGGGGGAAGATGAAATGCAAAAAATCTGACTTTCACCTCTCGCTGTTGTACGTGGCGTAGCAGCATAGTCCCTTCACTATTACTCGTGGCGCACTACAGCGCAGGGACAAAACGTAAAGCCACCTCCCCGTCGGGGAATCGAACCCCGGTCTCCCGCGTGACAGGCGGGGATACTCACCACTATACTAACGAGGAATTGGGCACGCATCGTTCTGCCTGGCTAGCCTGCCAACAGAAACGCGCGAAAGCACCCCGGTGTGTGAGGAGATCCTGCTAACTTGTGGGTACACAAATTGCAACTTTCTTTGCGCTGTTCTCTACGGGAAACCAGGAATCCCTTCCAGCTGGAAAGCCAATTAGACTGCGTGTAAAACCAAAACACTGGGAAAACAGACAGGAAATAGGTTGTAATCCCTTTCTTCATCTGGGAAAGAAGTTGTGAAGGAGGATGTCGCCAAACTCCAGCCCTTAGCTTCATCAGCCGGCAGCATGACTGCTAAGCTGGGTCCCTCACCTGTCTTCTCCTTTCCCACCAGTATCACCTACCGCTAAATGTGATAATATAAATAACACATTTAGGAGGCAACATTAAAATAGCAGCTGCACAGAGAAAGCATACAACTGTGTCATGAGAGCACAGCTGCTCGCTCAAAACCAGACAACTGCCATGAGGAATCATAGAATCACCAAATGGCCTGGGTTGAAAAGGACCACAATGACCATCTAGTTTCAACCCCCCTGCTATGTGCAGGGTCACCAAGCAGCAGACCAGGCTGCCCAGAGCCACATCCAGCCTGGCCTTGAATGCCTCCAGGGATGGGGCATCCACAGCCTCCTTGGGCAACCTGTTCCAGTGTGACACCACCTGTGTGTGGTTTTGGCCATGAAATATCGGTCGGGAAAGGCAGCAGGTTCCAGAGCTCCGACAGCTCCAGCAGCCCAGGAACCGGCACGTCACAATCAGACGTCTCACGGGCCGCCAAACGGCAGCCCGGCAACGCAGCTGCCGCACCTCCGGTCCGCGCCCTGACGGCAGCCGGAGAGCAAAGCGAGCCACCAGTTCTCTCCTCGTTAGTATAGTGGTGAGTATCCCCGCCTGTCACGCGGGAGACCGGGGTTCGATTCCCCGACGGGGAGACAGCGCTGACTTTTTGCCGCCCTTCGGCGCACATCCCGTCCCGCCGGCGGCGGCGCTGGAGGCAGACGGCGGCACAGCGCCACACAGTGTGCGGCGGTGGCGCCGGGCACAGGGCGGCCGTGATCGTATAGTGGTCAGTACTCTGCGTTGTGGCCGCAGCAACCTCGGTTCGAATCCGAGTCACGGCAGAACAGTTTTTTTGGGTTTTTTCTGTTTTTTTTTTTTTTTTTTGGTTATGTTTGTAAGTATTTTTGTGCCCAGCCAGCGGCTGGGACGAGGTGCTGAGACCGCATGCATGGTCCTTTCGACTGGCTGGACGGGACGCAGCTGGCGAGCCCTGGGCCGGCGCCGCCAGGGGGGTGGTGATTTCTGACAGGAAACGCGAGAGCAGGAAGGAAAAAAATAAAATAAAATGAAAAAGATAATGGCCCGTACGGGGATCGAACCCGCGACCTTGGCGTTATTAGCACCACGCTCTAACCAACTGAGCTAACCGGCCTGCCGAACGGCCGCCCCGCGCGCCTCCAACCGCCGGCCTCGCGTGCTGCATGCGGCCCAGAGGCCGCGCGTTCCGGCGAGCTGCCGGCGGCGCGGGGCCTCCTGAAGCCTCGGTGGCACCGCGGAAGGGGCCGGGGCTCCGAAAGGTAACGGCGGCACGGCGCGGAGCCGCGCTACATAGCGGGAGGCCAAAATGGCGTAGCGCGCAGTAGTCGTGGCCGAGTGGTTAAGGCGATGGACTAGAAATCCATTGGGGTCCCCCCGCGCAGGTTCGAATCCTGCCGACTACGGAGGCGTTATTTTTCCACACCGCCTTCCCTCCCGCACCGCTCGGTATTTTTAGTGTTGTTTTTTTTTTTCTTCTTCCTACAAACGTTTTCTCCCCGAAACGGGAGAGTTACAGAAGGCCCACCCACAGCCCAGAGCAGGGAAAGCTTCTCAGCGCGATGCCTCACCTTCAGCTCCCGCGCATTCCTCCCCCACCCCGCACCGCGACCGATTTGGGCGGGGCGCGGCCCACACGACTGCGGCCTACCTGGCGCCGTGGCTTAGCTGGTTAAAGCGCCTGTCTAGTAAACAGGAGATCCTGGGTTCGAATCCCAGCGGTGCCTGTGGGCTCAGCGACTTTTGTCGCCCAAGAGTTGAGTTGAACGGGCGCAGCGAGGAAAACAGCTGACGGCCGCCGCCTGTTGCGCTCCTCGCAGAGCGGCTGAGGTGCCTGCGCTGCCCTCACCCTGGGGGTGTTCCTCAAATCGCACCCTTACTTTCCAGTAGCGCTTCAAAGTTTTGGCTTCTGTTATTTAAAAAAAAACAAACAAAAAACTCGGACAGGGTTTCAAAAGTCAGACTGGCCCGTACGGGGATCGAACCCGCGACCTTGGCGTTATTAGCACCACGCTCTAACCAACTGAGCTAACCGGCCACGCTGTTGATACCTTCCGCGCCACCTCTGATCCCGCTCCCCAAATCGGGTCCCGGCGTCTCCGCGACACCGGCGCAGCCCCCCGGGCAGCACCTTGCCCACGACAGGAACAAAAGCGCAGGCATAACGCATTTCCTCGGCGAAGCCTCCTCTCTGCTCCGCTCGCTCGCCGCGTTCCAAAATGGTCGCTTCTCTTCGCAAGGGCGCTTCCCTCGCCCTTGGCTCCTAGGGTTGGCGGTGCCTTCCCCGCCCTCCCCTGCCCTCCGCCCGTCTTCTGCACCGCCGCGGTCACGCGGCCCCTCAACCGAGCGCCCGCGAAGCAAGGAAAAAAAAAAAAAACAACAACAAAAAAACCATTGTCAGGAGTGGGATTCGAACCCACGCCTCCAGGGGAGACTGCGACCTGAACGCAGCGCCTTAGACCGCTCGGCCATCCTGACGCTGTGACGGTGGCACCCAGCCGGCCCACCTCGGCCCTGCGCGGGCCCCAGCGCATGGATCATCAATGAGAAGGTAGAACGTAGAGTGGTTATGGACAAAAAAGGAGATGAAAGCAGGGAAATTTTGCTACCAGTGAAGAATATTTGCCTAGAAACATTGCTCAGCTGCACCTATTGGTTCTGATATGAGATACGGGATTTGAAACTCATCTCCAACTGAATAATAATAAAAAAAAGCATCACTTAAGAAAGAATAGATCCATGTTGAATAAATCCGTGTTGTGAGAGGTAGCAGGATAAGTTTTTCACTCAGAGGGTGGTGACACACTGGAACAGGTTGCCCAAGGAGGTTGTGGATGCCCCATCCCTGGAGGCATTCAAGGCCAGGCTGGATGTGGCTCTGGGCAGCCTGGTCTGCTGGTTGGTGACCCTGCACATAGCAGGGGGGTTGAAATAGATGATCATTGTGGTCCTTTTCAACCCAGGCCATTTGGTGATTCTACAGTATGAAAGGTTTGCACTGAGAAACCTTGCTCTACTTAGTATTTAGAAGAATGAAATAATCAGACACTCAGGATACTTTCTGTTTCGTAGGAACATAAGAGAAATCCATTCTTCTGCTTGAATCAACATTTTGAGCACAGGAAAGAAACTGCATCTTCTCTTAGATATAAAAAGTCTTTCTGAGAAGCACAAATGAAAAAAGTATTCCTCTACATCCTTCCTTCATTTTGTTACTGACAGATTGCAAAGTTGCGATCATATTCCCTTACCATTATCCTCAAAAAGACTTTTTTTCCTGATTTCTTCAAGCCAACCTAGCTTGCTATGTTTCCTATCTTTTCTCCCTCACACTCATATCTCTTGTTCTTGTTTCCTTTAGGACTGTGTTCCTCCTGTCTTGAAGAGGAAAGAAAGTTTTCTAACTGAAAAAATGTACAAAGGAATCTAAGAAGTAAGCAAATATTTGCTTTTAATATTTTCTTAATAGTATTTAAAATAGCTTAATTTATAACAATTTTATTAACTTCTGGATACACAATCTCAATTTTGTACTAAATTGCTAACGTTGGTAACCTTTCTTTTTCCTAGAACAGTTACAAAAATGTAGTCATTTGTTTAAAATAAACAACCACCTTAGAACAGCAGACCTGTCTGCTCAGTTACCTGAAGGTATAACATCACTTTCCACTTCTATTGCAAAGGACAGTTAGATGCCAAAGAGAGTTTTGAGGTCAGCCAGAGTGAGCTTTGAGGTTTCCCCTTTGCCTGCCAGCACCTGTTGGGCGAGACCTTTCTTCCTGGTCTGGAGTTGTACGATCTTTTCTTCTACTGTTCCTTCACAGACAAACCTGAAAATCCAAAGCCACATCACATCAACTGCTAGGAATAAAATTACAGCTTACAGAATGCTGACAACTTCCTCTGTAGATGTCCAAAAGTTTGTCTCAAATATTAATGGCTTAGTATGTAACTGACAAAATATACCCATTCACAAAAACAGCAGTTCTCACATAGATGTTACAACATTTCAAATAAAAGTCTGATATAACTTAAGCCTCAACGTTGGTCATCTGAAGCAACAGTAATTTTATGATAAGTTCCCATAATGGTGGTGTGATAACAGATGGCACTAAAAGCATTATACACAAATCAGTGTCTCAGCTTTCAGGTGCTTTGAACTGAATGCGTTTACAATAGCTGAGCTATCTTTCCCCACCTTAACATTACAGATACTACAGCTTTTTCTATAGGCCAATCTTGCCACTTGTTAAAAGTGCTCTATATGTTACTTACAATAGAGAGGTCCAGGCTTAGGGAGCGTGGTGGCTACCTCTGGAACACCAATTTAAAAAACAATCAAGAAGCATCCTCAAGTGCTTATTGCCACGAGATTCCCAACCATCCTACAATGCTTAGTTATAAGACTATATTCTCTAAGACAGATCTGCTTAGGGAAGAGCCAATGAGATGTGAGACTATTCCTGCCCCCAACGTTGTTTCTTTCTGTTTGTTTTTGGTGGGGTTTGTTCGTTAATGTTTAGCACCACAACCACTAAGACCAAAAAGTTCGACATTAAGTAGCCAGAAGAAATGTGCACTTTCTCTCAGTGCTCAATTCACAGTCCCACTGTCTGACTTTGTGCCCTCACGTAAGGGAACAAGCCTCAAAGGAAGGTACTGTTTCACAAGCTAAAGCCAGACACGACAGTACATGCCTAACAGCTCCATTTACTGCTGAGATGCAGACCTGTGTATCACAACATCCTTCTGCTGCCCCACTCGATAAATGCGGTCGCAGGCCTGTTCCTCGAGTGCAGGATTCCTGCAAGAAAAGGAACAGCTCACATAAGCCCCTAGGCTGTGTTCAGGAATTACTGAAATACAGGTGTCTTTACACTGCTCTCTTTTTGTCTTCCTCCAGAGCCTTCTGTCTTCTTCCTTTATAGAACTACAGCCTCCTCCCAGGTTACCTCAGCTTTACTAGCTTGATGATCAATGTGCACCCAACACTATTTCCTTTGCAGGTTACCCAGTAACCAGGAAGGTTACTTTACTTGCTGGAGAAGTAACCTGCTGCAACTCCACACAAAATCAGCTGTTTGAATTAAACCAGTGTTCCATACAGCCCCTCTGCTCTGACCAATAGTTAATGCTGACAGGAAGCTGAGGAGCTGCTGAACAAAGAGTGAAGCAGGAAGGCAAATTCCCCAAAAAAGGCTTTTGCTCAAGAACTTTCCATAAGAAATACCTGGCACACAGAGGGAGTCACTTCCTTATTGTAGAAATATCTCCTTAATGCTACCCAATAGCTAGATTATGTACCAAAGCATGTTAACCTGCTTTGGAGGTTCCCATTTGCAAAAGGGTAGTAAAAAATAAATAAAATGTGGTTCTGAATGATGAGAGACAGCATAAATATCAGGAGTTCATATGTACTGTTTTCATAGCTCTGTAAAACCCAAGGTACACTAGCTATGCTTACTGACAATTCTCAAGACAGTCTTATTTATCTCAATACAAATTCCCTGTAGGCATTACTGTACTTTTGTTTATTGTTACTTGAAATTTAAGCTAGGGATTTTTGCCCAGCCCAGGACTGTACTTCATGGCCGTGAGCACTGGATAGACAAATCCAAGATAGAGTATTTTGGAGGAAGACTACAGTAAGACACTTTTCTACAACTAATCATTAGCCCTTACACTCAGCTGAACAATTCCTTCCTACTCAGCTGTATCAGAAGTCACAACACACACGGTATGGAAGAAAGCAACATGTCCTACATAATTCTTCATAGATGGAAATTTTATTTTTCTTTACCAATGCATGTCAAGGAGAAAGAGGTGGTTTCCTCCAGTCAAGTTCAGGCCAACACCTCCAGCCAGCAAAGAGACCAACATTACCTTTAAAGACCAAAACAGAGATAAGAGAAAATGAATACTTCATATATGCCACATTAATTTGAAATAAAGACCATACCAAAGGATCTGTTTATCCCATTTATATGTATATATTTATTGTGTGTCTGGAAGCCTGCCAGACGTTACTTAATGAGACACAGAAGGCTCTAAGAGAAGAGACCAGAAGATATGGATCTAAGAGAGACCAGCTTAACATTTCACATCTATTATACTGACAAATGTTTAATGACTAGAGAAAGGACTGCAAAGTTCATCCTCTCTCCATGCCCCACTTAAATGACTGGCCTTTCTGATGACAGCCTATTGCCAACAATGGCACCAATTAGCACCAGCTATGAATTAAGAATCAGGATTACTTAAAACACAAGCAACTGGACTGAAATGGCCTGCCACTCATTTTATATTGCTTACACATAACTTAATGCTTAGAAAAAGATGAGTAGCTGGGAGGAAAGGGAATACAACAGGTGATCAACTGAGAGAAGATTTTTGTACAGCAAGAGAAGAACTGAATATGTTAAGTACAGAGCTATTTGTTATATATATATGTATTGCTAAATTTCATAGTATGTTAAAAACACTGATCTTGTTGAAGAACTGAGCTATTCATATAGCTTGTAGAAGTTGTCTTTTGTTTAAGTTCAAATCCAGAAGGAGAAAGCAGCTTTCCAGATAGCAGCTTGTTTAAGAAATCCAGAAAAGTAAACAAGCTAGTGCATCACTTACTCCCTTCCCAGTCACAGGAATTTAGGCAGCCTGTCCTGCCTAAATTACAACGATTTCAGTGTTTAGATCAAAGTATACTACTATGAATAATGAATCTGGATTCAGACTTCTTTAAATATTTGGCAAGTTTTCTTTCCTTGGCAAAAACAGACTAGGAACTATTTTCATGAAGAGCCCAAACACTGTAGTTCACCAGCATTAAAATATATATTACGTATATATATATATAATATATATATTTGAAAGTGAAAAAAATTACAGTGAAGTCACCTTATTCTGAAATCCCACCCCAATTCCAATCTCTCTATTCTTCTACTGGGGTGAGATATGTTCTTCTTAATCTGTCTTCATTCACAGTTTCAGCTGTTATCCTCTCTTCTCAAAAAAGATTACAGCCTGGCACAACGTACCTGCTGTGCTGCAGAACAGCAAGAAAATCTTACAGGTTCCTTGGCAAGCAGGGGATATAAAGAAAGAGATATCTTCCAGTGCAGTGACAAGAGTTGGAAAACAACCAACCTTCTAGCTTCCGAGTGGAGCTAACTGGCCCCATAGCTTATTCATTGCATCTTTTGAAAACACTGAAGATTTGGACAGCCTTTGTACTAATTTCTATGTCAGTTCAGAACAGTTAACATCCAAAGGAACTTTCCACAGTTGCTCCCGGTCATTATAAATTCTACATCTGTTTTTACAGCTACCCCTTTCCCTGGTGATCTTGACATCTAGATATCCAAATGAAAGCAGTGCCAGTAAGTGAAATCATGAAGTCACCTACTGTAACTGCTCATAACAGTACCAGTAACTGCTTCCCTGCCACGATTTCATACCTGAGGCCCTTTGGGATTGTTATTGAACTCTTCTACCACATCCATTCTCTGTTTAGGATTAACAGAGCCATCCAGCATTGAATACTTCAGCCCTAGTCTCTGGAGGTGCACAGCCACAACCTTCAGCATGCTTGTCCACTGAGACACAACAACACTGGAGAAAGAGAACAAGGAGTTTAGAACAGATCCTACATGTAGTCTGAGAGCTTAGTTATTGCAGTGTTTCACCCAAGAGGACAGTGCACTATTCCCAATTGCAATCTGGGCACAGAAGTCCCCTCTCAATTCAGAAAAAGATTCACTATTATGAAGTGTAGTGCCACAACCTGCTGCACAGGGCTAATAACCAACAAACTTGAGTCATAGTAACTCTATTTTCACCACTATTCTTGAATTTTACATTGCCAGCCATCCATCTCAAGTTGTAGCGTTTTCCACAGAATGAATCAACAGCAAACACCAAACTTGGATTTCTCAGGGTCTCTCACTCCCCCCCATTTTTTGGATTAAACACTTTGGAAGGCAGTCATTGTTCAGTAAGTTTTTTGTTAGAGAACAAAAGTAATGTTGGTGTTCTTGTTCTTTTGGTAGGAATGTTCTTTTGAAGAACGTTTGCACTCCCCAGGCCCTGTACATAATGACACAACTTAACTACTTTCCAGCCACATATCTGTAAGTACATTCAATACTGCTTACCAAAAACAAGCACAAACCCCTAGGAGCAGTAGGATTGGAGCTGAGGACAAACACTTCTCTGCATGACTAAGTTCTTCTCAATCCTATTTTAGGAAGAAAAGAGTCTGCTTGGGCCTCAAAGCTCAATATTCCTCACACACTCCCCTACTACGTTTACACTAATCTACTTGTTCTCTTACTTTTTATTAGATTTTTCTCAATCAGCTTTCACATACTGTAATAGCCTCACCATTTCACCGTTCCTGGAATCTGTATTCAGTTGTTTTAAACTACAAACACTGTCAAAAGACATGTTTCTCTCAATCACCAAGACTTAATAAAAGGGTACATTTACTAACCTTTTCTGAGACTCTGGGTGACTCTGAATAGTTTTCAGTTCAGCTAAGAGGTGAGATACCTGCAAGAAAAAAAAAATTGCTTGATATCATAACTCAAGTCATGCTTAGCTCTTCTTCATCAAACAGAAAGTGATCAAAACAACTCTTTAACTGTATCCCTTACCATGCTCAGACTTTCAAGATACATTCATAATTATAAGTAAGAAATGGAGTCATACAAACATGCTTTACAAAGTCCAGCATTTCTGTGAGAAGTTATTGCAACCTCTTCTCTTGCTCTGCACAAGCACCATGTTCACATGTAACAATTTTCTAAATTACTGTGAATCCAGTGCTCAAGATTTTCGCTGACGTTTCATCAGTATTGTCAAGTTCTCACAGCTTTATTAGAAGTATCCATCAAACTTCTGATTACACCTAAATTGTCAGCTTACCTTGATCTACAACATGTGACAATTCATTAACAGTTTAAAAGGAAAAATTCTGAAACCAAGCTCCTCAAGGGAGGCCAGAAGATCAGAATACCTTGGTGCTTTCCTTGGTGATTTCAAAGAGATCTGTATTAAAAGCTGTGCCATTGAGGTAGACTGTTGACTTTGAATCAGGAGTCTGGAGTTCAGACAGGGTCAAAGCACTAAGTTGTTCCTCAATGGAGAGAGAAAGGCCTTCACTGGTCAAATTAACTTGGTCCAGAGCCTGCAAGAAAAATGCAATATAATAAGAGATGTCAGCCAAGCCTGAGATCAAATTCAGTGCTGATCTACAGTCTGTGCAATGTCTGCTGAAGTCAGTGAGTTAGAAGGGAGCTATGTTAGACAATATGAATACAACACCATAAAGAAACATTACTGGGTCAGACCAGCAGTCTCTTTATCCTCATATTCCAGCCTAAGAAGGACTTTGTAGGGCAAGTACATGAGCCCAGCCATCTTCTGTGATCTGGTCTCAGAATCATCCCACATCACTCAAGATTTGAAGGATTCAAGATGTTAGGGAATAAATCTCTGCTTGTTCTCTTAATACCTGGATTTACTTTACAGCTGCTCTATACTGCAGAGCATCAAAGTTCTGAAAGATCAGTCTCCTTAATGCAAGGCAACTTCAGTCAAGGCGCTTACAGAACTCAATCACACACAAACCACTGATAAAGGCTGTGCTTGTGGACTTGCACACTTTTCAAGACTCGTTAAGATCAAAACTTTCCTTTGCCATTAAAAGTCTGTTTATTAATTTGATGTGAATAGAGCTGTTTCCAGAGCCACAGCTTCCCCTCACAGATTACACTGGGGAACTCAGTAAGGTGTATGCTCACCCTACTGAAAGTGTCCATTCATAAACCCCTAGGTAAGTGAACCAACAGTGTTAAAAAGTTCATTAACTTATACAGACACTTGAGTACACCCCTCCACATCACCACTATTACAGTACAATTACCACTTTCAGTAAGGAGAGATGGCAGCAGCACTGACGGAGCCTCAACAGCATAGACAAGACGTGGGCAGTACTTGAGACTTGGGAAGCACTTTGAGAGCTTGCTAGAAATTCCTTCTGACTGTACCCAAAATCCTGTGCAACTGCCAATGAACAGAGAACAAGAGATCCTGGAGGCACTTCCAAGCACTGACCAGCAAGCATTTTGAACCAGAACACAAACACACACTCGATTTAACACAGGAACTCAATCTCCCTTAAAAACAAAACTAAAACCAACCAAACAAACAAACAAAAAAAAAACAGGTGACAACACAAATCATAATACTACATTTCTTATACTGACACTTCTTTTCTGGGCAATTACACCTTTATTTCAAAGGGGAGCCAGGGAAGTTTAGAAAATTTCCCAAAGCCACAAAAGTGACAACAGACCTTTAGAATACTGAGTCAGTCAGTTTTCAGTCACTACCCATTACTACCAACAAACTTTGATAATTGTTTTAGTTTCCCTTGATTCATACCTTCCTTTATTATCCACAGCAAATGAACAGACTGGCAGATTCCTCAATACCTAAAAAGGACTTTTCTGAGAGCTAAGCAAGAGGAGGCTTCATAAGGGCTTCAAACCCCAAACCAAATTCTTCATAGGAGCATGGAAGCAGCTAAGCGTTTTCCAAAGAATTCCTAAATCTTGATGCCCCATGTGGCCAGCTTTATTCCTCCTCATTAACTGTGCACTTAAGAGTTACTTCTGCAAATATTTTCATGGGAGGGCATACTCAAACCTTTCTCAAATGGGTTATTCCCAGTGTGCTCTCTGCCTTCATTTTTCTGCTCTTGCCGCTTTAGGTAGGACTGTAGTGTTGACCTGGAAAAATAAGATAAAGACTGTAGAATTTATAGCAAGAAAAAAGGCAAGAAGCACTTGAGCTTAACAAGCAAGCTGTCAATGCATTAAGGAACGTTTCATTAATTATTTACTTTCTCATACTCCATTAATGTACGTTCCTGAAGTCAGAGAGAGTTTTGTTTAACAAGATCAAAAAGGAGGATCCATTTTGAAAAGCATGAGGTTAGTAAGCCTGATTATCAGAATACCCTGAGAATAACAGGAGCCATGGCCCAATGGACAGCATTCTTCACAAAAATACAAAAGGATATCTTTAAATACATAGTTACAAGGAAAGAAGACTCTTTACAATAGCACTGGTGAAAGAGACCCTGTGAGAAAACAAGGTGCTGCTGGTTTGCTTTATAGGCATTTGGAGAGGCCAGCTAACTTCAGATCATATAAATATCACAATGTACAGAAGACAAATAATCTCCTACACAGAAGCTGGGACATCATCATTTAAGAGTTACTGTCACAGTTCCAAGTGTTTCTCCATGGCAGGTGGGTTGGAACCAGATTTTCTTTCTTAACAAAAACTATTCTGCAATTCTATGCTTGACAAATAGTCAGAAAGGGGGAAAGAATAACCTGAGTTTGTCCAAAAGATTTTCTCATCTAAAATGGATTAACCATTCTCATTTTTCATATCGGTAAGAAATAAAAACACAACATACTTTATTTCTTTTCACATTCATACCTGGATCTTGCAAAGAGCACATTGTATACAGACTGCTCCTCTGCTGAAAGTTTTAACTGATGCAACTGCATGCTACGCTGTGGCAAAGATACCTGAAGATACACAGCATCAGATATATGTATAATGCAAAAGATCTATAGCATCACAAAAACCAGTATCCCAATATTTAACATAACATTCAATATCTCTAATTAAAAATACAGCTATCTATGAAGTCATTTATATTAATTAATTATGACACAACACAGATAATTCTGAGTAACCTGGTTAACACTCAGAATGAAAATCTTTATTCCAAGTCATAATAAAAAGCTTGAGAACTAAGAATAGGCTGCTGGATAGCAGGAGGAATTAATTTACTGCACTGCAAAAGTGGCTTCTCAGCTTCCTATTCAGAATCAGACAGTAACAGAAAATACACCTTCTGAAGTTTTACAGACATACTGATAACCTATAACTCAGATTAACAGATTATATCTAAGGAATAATGGAGAAAGCCAATGTCCCAGTACACACCAAACCCATTTCACACTCTGTAGCTTTAACTCAGAGGTTTGATTCAGAGATCTAGACTAGCTCTCCATTAAATGGATATCTACTTGCAATTGCTTGACACATTCTTTTCTGCACTTGATTTATAACTAAAAGGTTTCATTTTTCCATATATATCTGCATTCTGGATAAGCAGACACAGCATCCCACAGGGATTTACTCCTCTTCCTCAAGAGAGTACAGTAGACAGGAAAACCCACCCATTACAAATATGCATGTGAAGAGTTAACTGGCTGCTGCCAGGAAAGTGATGAAATGATTGTCTAGGTCTTACCAAGGGCTTTCCAGTTGAATCCAGCTGGTCCTTAGTTCTCCGTAATAAGAGGCTCCTAGTTAAAAGGCTTAGCCTATCTCCTCCCTTCTTAGTGTTGTTATCTACCTGGTATTTCCACACCTTGTATTCATCAAAAGGAGAGCAACGTAGGAACCTAAAACAGAAGATAAAGGAACTTTATTCCAAATGAAGAGAAGCTTTTCAGTTACTCCTGAGTGACCAAAACAAAATTCCTTGTTATCCAAAGCAAACAATTTCTAATTCAGCAAGGAGCAACAAAACACTTTCAATTCAATGACATCTATAACTTATTTGGTCAAAAGCCAGACCATCACTAGCACAGCAAAAGCAACATTCTGATTGCATACCCATAACATCATCTTAGCCCAATATAACTCAAAGCACATCAAGAAGTACATCCACTTGCCAAAAAGCGTACTCATTTTTTAATTCCAAATTATTAGGAACAAGTATTACTGCACAAAAATTCTGATCATTAACATTGGTTTTGTGGATATTCTCCTTGAAAACATAGGAGATCTTAAGTAATTTTCCCTTTGAGTTTCATAAAAGCAGAATAGTTACACACAGCTGTAGCACATGGTTCATTCACTGCCTCTGCCTCACTATCCCTTTTATCTCAGGGATCACTCCAACTTAGAAACAACTTCAGCACTTAGTGAAGAATCATTGGAACTGAAGTGCTATCCATGTGCCTCACATGAAGTCACCTCACCTCAGAAGAGAGTACATGTCCAATAAGTTGTTCTGTATTGGTGTCCCAGTGACAGCCCATCTGGCAGTGGCTCTCAGCTTGCACACAGCTATGGAGGTTTGAACCTTTGGATTTTTAATAGTGTGAGCTTCATCCAATATAACTCGAGCCCAAGCTACTCTGAGGAGAGGGGAGCAGGGAGATGACCCACTCTGAAAGAAAAAAAAAAACTATTTTAAACACAGAGCAATAACCTTACTAGGACCTCTAGAGAGCCACAAGCAAACGTATTTCCAGCAAGAAATGTTTTCTTTCTGATAGCATGAGATCTTAGGGCCATGCAGACTATTTAAAAAAAATCACCTCTCCGATGCTTCCATGAAATTTTCTAATCTGAAGTAGATGTGTTTGCCTACTCATGATGGCTATTTCTAGTATTTTGCTGATTTTTATTTATTTATTTTTCCTTTTAACATTTTATCTCCCCTTCCTTCCCAAGAGGGAATATCAGTAACATTTTGCTAGGCTGGGACAAAGGAACACATAACTATTCCACTAGGCATACATAAATAAAAGATTTTAAAACTTATAGGCTTATAAATACACAATCTCCCTAAATGCCTCCTAAAGGCTCCAGAAAATTCAAAGGCTTGTTTGCTCTAAGACCTACACATGGATCTGCATGCAGAGGTTGAAGGCAAAAACATCCAGCAAGGGACTTCCTCTCCACTGCGTACCCACGTTCAACTGGCATTCAACAATCACTCTATTTTCACAGTCTAGCAAATACACTGCTGTTTCTTCAAGAATACAGAACGTAAGTTGCCTCCATGTCAGTTCAAACTGATTCAGAGCCTTAGCATGACAGGCTTCTGGTATTTTAAAGGAGCATTAGTGCTTCTAACAGCAAACACCAAGCAGCAGATTCTAGCATCCTTCATAGTCTTGTCTCAAAGAGTACACGATTCATCACTGCACTCTTAAAATTACTTTTTAATTATTTCAGCTGTGCATTCTGTAGCACATTCTGTATTATGACAGAACAGGTTTATTGTATTTTTTCCAGGTCATCTCTCTGCACCTCACAATACTTTCTCCCATGGCTTTGTTTTTATCTTGTAATCACAATAGTGTACTTATGGAAAAAATATTCTTGCCTACTGCTCATTGTAGCATTAGGCGTTCCCTGAAACAATAACAGCTTGCATCACCTCAGAACAAAAAGATTCAGACAATCTTTTATCAACAGTATGGCTTCTCACCTCTACTTCATGGTCCTTAGCAGGGAATTCCCCCTCCTCTTTGCTTGTGGGAACCTCCTTAGAGAGAAGGCTGTAGGTTGTGACAACAACATCATGTTCAGAGAGCCTGCATCAAGGAACAGTAAGAATCAGAAGCAAGAACAAACGAAGAATTTATTTTGCAAAGCAGACAAAAATGCGTGCTCAAGGTTTAAGAATAACATGGTTCTACAAGAGCTATGTGCAATTCTACAGAAGACTGAACTTCACTGCAGGAATGACAGATGGTCTCCATTTTCTGGATACTGAATGCAGATACAGCAAACTAAAGAAGGCAGTAAGAGTCAGACAGAATCCACACCATGTGCGATGAACATTACTTAGAATGTGCTACACAGAAAAACTGCTCAGAATAGCCTGAAGTGGTATAGAAAAGTTTCAGATGTACACATAATGATGATAACGTAACCACAAAGCACAAGCATGGAAGAAACTGCTACTTAATGTCTGCAAGCAAGAGACGTGCATTAGAGGACACACTGTTTTTGTTACCAGGAATAATAATAGCCTGCACCAGAGCCACGTGGCATGGGTACAGGTCATAAAGGCTTTGCAATATAAAATATAAGAGCAGACAGCAGCCTGACCTCTGAACCCTAAACATTTCCATACTTCAGGTTCTTCCAACATTTTACTGCCACTGAATTTCAACTCTGATGAACAAAATCTCTTGTTAAGTTGTATTTAACTTCTCTTGGTCATGCTTACAGTTTAGCACTTACACCTCTGCATGTTTATCTCGGTTAGGCCCATGGTACAAGTAGACCCTCAGTTTTCCAAAGCCCACACGTCTGTCAATCTCTTTCTTCCAGTGATGGATCAAGGATGCAGGACAAATGATCAAAGTGCTGCATGAAGGGATAACAGTAGAATCTGCAGGAAAATATTACAGACAGGTTTTAGCATCTTCACATTACTCTACAAAACCAAAATTTGGGATAGCCATGACAGTTAAGAAAATTGATCCACTTTTTTGTGATCAGTTTCTGAGGCAGATATCTCCACATCACACTCCTGGGGACTGTCAGGTTGGGGAGGAAAAAAATTCTACTTAGACATCAAAGTGTCATAACTCGTTCAGAGTTCTGCTATAAATCTAGGCATTTTGAATAAACAAAGTCAGGAAGTAAATCTCTTCTCAGAAAATGGTTTCAAATAAACACTTCTTTCTTCTTCTAAAAGACTGACCTCACCATTTTGAGCCATGTTAAAAAACAAACAAACAAAAACACACATAAAAAACCCACGGTTGTTTGTTTTGCCAACAAAACTTTCAAAACACACAAAAAAATCAGCCTAAGTAATGATATGAATATGGGGAAAGTGACAGGTTGTTGACACAGAAACAATAACTTTTCTTAAACAGCCAAACAAAAAACCCTCTGTAACTCCTGTATCTCTGTGAACAAAGAAATAATTTTGTGAAAGAAAGGAAAAAAGACCAGTCACAGAGAAGTGAGGAGTAATTGAAGTCCTTATGCTAAGAAAATTACGCAAACATTCAACATTTTTTCAAAACTGATTTTACCTGATTTGGTAAAATAACCAATAAAAATGCCTGGAGTATATAAAGTAATGAACAAGAAAATCCTACACACACAGTGCCATTGATCAAGAAAAAGGCTTTGCAAGGGAGTACAGTAAACATTACTCCCAATGGAATGTTCCTACAGAAGGGAAGTAAACACAGATAGAGTTTATTGTTTTTGTAGTCTTCAACCTATATATATTACAACCAGAACGCTTTATGCATTTCAAATGGCATTACATCAGAACGTATATATTGTATGATATAAACAATTCTGTACCATTTCTGGTCAGCCACATTTCTAACTTCTTGCTTCCGTTCTCTGTCTTCACCTGCTTCTGGGTCAGAATTAGAGCAATCATTGTTAGAGTCTTCCCCAGGCCCATGTCATCCGCTGGAAAGAGAGACATGCACGTTACAATGACCTGCAGAAATGTGGCTGCCTAACTCACATCTACACTGAAGTAACTACCAGAGCAGCAAACACCCTGGCAATACTGAGAACAGAAATACACGTCTGCTTCAGGATATAATATAATAATGGGTTAGTAGCCCCTTTACACATCTACAAAATAGCAAGTTATTGGCCTCAAAGTAAGTTACACGCCAAGTTTTTGCTGTACTAAGTCTTTCCCTCAAAAAAGTACTTTCCCATTCTGCTCACCCAGAATTCCTCCACAAGGCCTTTGACTCTCTCTCCAGAGCAGCCATGCAAGTGCTTGTCTCTGGTGCAGCAGCAGCGGAACCTGGGAGGATGAGACAGAATTAGAAGGAAACACCTTGCAAAGTTCAGACACTTCTGCTTCCTGTAGCAAATCATCCAGCTGAGCTGTCCTACTACAATCCATCCTTGTCAACTCACTTTCAAACCGGAGGGATCCTCAGCGACTGTCTGCTCTGTTGGACAGGATTCTAGAGATTTGTGAAGATGATTAATGGCATCACTTGTTGCACTGTGCACGGCCCTAATTCGGTCTTCTGTCATTCTTCCTCCATACAGATTCTGCACACCAGAGTTCACTGAAAAGATGAAGCACTATACATGAAGTGTTTTTATAGAGCTAACTCTCCCTTGGAGATCACAGTAGCTACAGATGCCCAGGGCAAAACATGCCGCTCGTGCTAACAAAAAAGGTTTAGTAACTGTTACATATTCACAGTTTGCAGGATTCTGTCCGGCCTAGTCCTTGTCAGTGTTCTTTAAAGAATAGGCTTTCAATACTTACTTCCAAAACCATGGCCAAAATATTCACTGGAACCCAAGGCAGCAGCAGAGGGGTGACTGTGTGAGCTTGAAGAGGAGCCTGACTTATGATCCCCAAGGGGCAGTGGTGTTATCAGCTTTGTACCACCTGGTCTGCTGAAGGAGCTAGGCAAAGGTTCCTCACAACGTCCACTGCTTGCACTGTTCTTCCCTGAAGAAGAAAGGAATTGCAGGGTGAAGAGGTTGAGCAATGTTGGACCTCATAGCCTTGCTTTACAGCACAAAGAAGGGCCTTCATTTAGCCCAATAGCTTGCAAAAGGTTGTTAACTGGCCACAGTGATTTAACACTGTGATAGTGAGTTAGATAGTGAGGGTAGTGAGTTACCACATTGGCTGAGCCACCACAGCTGTTCACATGCATGCTCTTAGCCTGTTCCTGCTTGACAGCCAATGCAGTTCAGCTCAGGCCTCAGTGTATGGTTTATACAAACACAACGAGCTTTGCAACTGTGATCAGATTAGTGCCTACACAAGGTCAGCTGTGCATGATGTTTCCGGTGTTCCACAGTTCCTGTCAGAAGCATCTTTCAAAAACAAATGGCTCAAGAAATCTGACTTGTTCCCTACTTCCTGGAGAAGAATCTTGCTTAAAATCAGATCTTGCATAAGGCATTGTGATTGCTTCTTGTCTGGAATAACCAGAAGTTGTTTATCTTGCTCACATTAACTTTAATGTTCAGACACAGCTGCCAAAACCAATCTCCTGCATAAGCAGCATGGCTCCACACTGCAACAAAATTGAAGTTAAACCTTAACTGCCAAGTTCTCAGAGAAACAAAACATTATGCAAAGTTTTTGGGGAAAAAAAAATAGCCTTACCTTTTTCTGTAGTATCTGTCGTTGAAATGTTAAGAGCACTGAGTGCAGCTTCCAAATCCTGTACTTGCTTTACTAACCGTTGCCCTTTATCTGGCAGCACCTGAATGTTCACTGTAGCCAAGGTATTCTGAAAAAAAAAAAAAAAAAAAAAAACAACAATCCCAAACCTGAATGTGCTTTACCGAGCTTTCTGCCAAGAAGAAAACAATCAAGGAGTTAGAGGTTCAAAAACATTCATATTCTACCACAGTGATTCCTACTTGAACCAAGTTCTACAACCTCCAAAAGCATTTACGTGCCATTTAGTGCAATTAAATAGTATTCTAGTAGAAGGGAAATTAGCCATTTGTATACTTCAGAAAAGATGGAAGGATGCAGGGCTCCTCCTTGTCTTCCTACGAAACAGGATGGTCAGCTAATCAAGTAGCTCAGATGATCTTAACATCTCACAAAGCATCCAGCATCTAAACTAAGTGCACATTTCTGTACAGACAGAAGGCTTATTTAATCTTAGTGCGAGTTTTCATGGCTACATCACTCCTTCTACACAAGCCTATGAGAAAGGCTAAGCTGGCTGCATGGTTACATCTTACACAAACTAAATATAAGATACACACAAACTCAGGCAAGTTAAAATTAAGCACACCCAAATGCAGATGGTTACATTGAGGTCACTGTCTCGTAAGTGGCTTAAAAAACCTGGCACCTGCTTTTATGTCCTTCCCTACAGCCCACTCTCTCGTATGCTCCAAATATTTCAGCAGTTCTACTGTGTGGGGACATAATATTCTGATCGCTGTCACGAGTGAAAGAAGTCATTTTGAATAGGAAACAAAACAAAACAAAGGAATAAGAGGTAAAATATGTTACCTTCTTCTGCCTCAGCTGGATTTCAAGATGGTTACGAAGAGCCTCAGGGTCTCGGGGTCCTTCCATGTGAAGTGATGCTGCAGCTCCTAGCAAAGATGCCTCCTGGGTACTCTTCCCTGATGTTCCTGCAGGAACCCCTCTTGGTTGCAAATCCTTAACTGATTTCTCAGGTTCGCTTTCATCTGATGAGGAATAAACAAGTACTACTTCATCACTGTCACTGTCAGAAACTTCATCAGCAGGCTGTTCCAGACTTGGCCTGACTTGTGTCTTGGATGGTGCTGCCTCTGCTCCTTGCTTTGGGAGAGCATGTTGTGATGCTTCTTTTGGTACTGTTGTGGAAGTTGTGTTTTCTTTTGGTACTGGTTTCATCTCTCCATTCTTTCCACCAATGCATTCTTTCACTCTGGTTTCTCTATCCCCACAGTTTTTTAAGCTTTTATCCCTGAACTTCTCTTTCTCTGGAGACTTGCAACTTGTACTTTGCTTTTCAAAACTGACTGGGAAGAGTTCGGATCTGCCACCTGGCTCTTTCTCCACACATTCAGATTTTTTGGATTCCCTGCCACTTCCTCCACACTTCTCTTTATCCTGATGAGTGTTTTCTCCTTTCCAAGTCTCAGAAAGACAAAGTTTAGATTCAGATATTGTGTTTCCCTTAAGTTCTGGATCACTCCTACATCCCTTGGATTGTTTTTCAGTTTTCAGCCCTTCTAGATGTTCCTTTTCTGTGGAGGAACCAGAGGTGGGCTTCTTTTCTTTATGTGACTCCACCACATTATCCTTTTCTGCTTCAACTCCTCTTGCTTTACTTTCCTCTCCACTGCCTTGCTTAATTTGTTTCCAGGATGATGCTTCACAATTCTTGTCTATCACTTTGAATGGATTTCTTTGGCCACTTGGATTGAAGACAGGTGCCTTCTTGGGCTGCGACTCTAATTTTTTTGATGGTTTGATACCTTTTGAATCCTGCAATACACATAAGTAGGTAAGTGCTAATATACCAGTAATAAAACTTGCTAACTACACACACAATCCAATTACTTCAAGCAAGGCTTCGTTCTCTATGAACATCATCTTTCCTACAATTTAGCAAGGGCAGGATAAACATTTTGCAAGGAAAAAAGACTGCTGCTTTCTTGCTGCCTTAGCTATTCCCATGGTGTCTGGGGATCAAGTCCTAACAACACCATTCTCAGGAAAGAAGGGTGGCTGGAAAGCAAACCCAAGGGTTATTTTTGTGTTTTCATTTGTTTCTGGTTTTTTTTTGTTTTTTTTTGTTTTTTTTGGAAGACTGAAGAACAGTGATTACTTTCTACAATTTAGAAGTTAGAAGTCTCAAATGGAAGACAACAGACTGATAAGGATATCAACTATAATATACAAAGTCTCTGACTATGTGATCTTGGAAGCAATTATAGTAGTTAGAATGAAGTTACGCTGGAATAAGTTGATGCTGCAGTATAAATAAAACACTCTTACCTGCCATGGCACACTTCCACACCATTTCTTCCCATTCAGCTTACTGTTAACACATCGGTAAAACAACCTATTAAAGAATAAAGCAAGATTTTAAGTGAAAGTGCCCTTAGAGGAGCTCTAGCCATTCTTTAAAAACTAGTGTGGCACTGAAAACATTACCTGATCTGAGATTTACATCCAGACTTCTGCATAGCAAAAATCATGAATGATGGTAACAATGCTTGTTATCCAATTATCATTCCCTGAATATAATTCCTTAGGGTATAGGGGTTTGTTTTGAACCACAGAATGGCTTAGGTTGTAAGGGACCTTAAAGATCATCAAGCTACAACCCCCTGCCATGGGCAGGTTTGCTACCCAGGCTGCCCAAGGCCCCATTCAACCCGGCCTTGAATGCCTCCAGGGACGGGGCATCACAAGTTCTCTGGGCAGCCTGTGCCAGGGCCTCACCACTATGAGTAAAGAATTTCTTCATAATATCTAATCAAAATCTCCCCTCTTTTAATTTAAAGCCATTCCCTCTTGTCCTGTCACTATCTACAATGTAAAAAGTCAGTCCCCCGCCTGCATATAAGCTCTCTTCAAGTAGTGAAAGGCTGCAATAAAATCTCCCCTGAGCCACTGGTTCATTTTAAATCTTGAAATGAAAGCTAAAGGAGTGCTACAAATTGGTGAAGTAAAAACACTGTCTGATGTCCAAATGCTCCAAAGTCTTGTGATTTTTAGGCATGAGAAAATGGCTATTCTACCATTATGCCACACAGACTACTTAGACTGTGGGATTGAGTGTACCCTCAACAACTTTGCTGACGATACCAAGCTGAGCAGTGCAGTCAACACAACAGAAGGAAGGGATGCCATCCAGGGGGACTTGAACAGGCTTGAAAAGCGAGTCCAGGAGAACCTAATGAGGTTCGATAAGGCCAAGAACACAGCATTGCACTTGGGTTGGGACAATCCTAGATATGACTACAGACTGGGAGATTAACTCCTTGAGAGCAGCCCTACCTTGCAGCCTGGAAGGCCAATGGTATCCTGGGCTGCATCAAAAGAGGGGCGGACAGAAGGATGAGAGAGGGGATTGCCCCTCTCTACTCTGTCCTTGTGAGGCTCCATCTGGAGTACTGTGTCCAGGCCTGGAGTTCCCAGTACAAGAAGGATGCAAAGCTGTTGGAGGGGGTCCAGAGGAGGGTCATGAAGATGATCAGAGGACTGGAGCACCTCTCCTATGATGAAAGATTGAAGGAATGGGGATTGTTTAGGTTGGAGAAGAGAAGGTTCTGGAGAGACTTCATTGCAATTTTCCAGCACTTGGAAGGAGCTTACAAGCAGGACGGGGACTGACTTTTTTCGTAGGTAGATGATGATAGGACAAGAGGAAATAGATTTAAACTGAAAAAGGGATGGTTTAGATTAGATGTTTGGAAGAAATTTTTCACTCAGAGGATAGTGAAGCACAGGCACAAGCTGCCCAGAGAGGTTGTGGATGCCCCATCTCTGGAGGCATCCAAGGTCAGGTTTGATGGGTTCCTGAGCAGATCTAGTGGCTGGCATGTCTCCACAGCAGGGAGGTTGGAACAAGAGGATCTGTTAGGTCCCTTTCAACCCACTCTATAATTCTATGACAGACTTAAGAGAGATATTTTTAAAATGGACAGACAACAAGGTCAGCTGCAAGAACTTGATATGAATTAATACAGCTGCAATTTGATGCAATCAACAGGAAACTCTGATGAACCCAACAACAAAACTACGTTCAATTCTGTTATAAAGAAGTGTTAACAAATCACTCAGGTATATATAACTGAATATCATTACTGATAAAAAATAAAGAACATTTTGAAAAGAGTAAGCGAAGGCCTCAAGGCCAGAGGCCATTTTTTAGCAGTAGAAGGGAAGTGCAGGTCAGCCATCCCCACACAGTTCCAGACACCCACATCTGTACAGCCAACCTCCTGCTTGGAGGAACTTACTGGTACGCATCTCCGTGCTGCTGCTGAACCAGGATTTGCAGCTCCACCACGTACCCCTCGTGGACCAAACAGTACGAAGGAGGAACGCTGAAACGAGGAAAGGAATAATAAACACAACACAAGCCGTCAAAGCCACAGCAACAGCCAGAAGACTGACTTGGGACACAACGCTCGGAAAACCTTCTCAATAAATAAAGCCCACAGCTCCTGACGCGATGCAGGTTTTCCCTGAGGTCAACATCCAAAGCCCTCGGACTCGCTCAGCCCCGCGGTCCCTCCCGCCCTCAGCCCCGCACGCACTCAGCCGGCAGGACGAAGCCGCACGGCGCCGAGCCCTGAGCCCCGCACACGTAGAAGCTCTTCCCCTTGTTGGGGCCATCGCGGACGCCGGTCTTCAGAAGGCAGAGGGAGCCTGCAGGGAGGAGAAGAGCGGGACGAATTAGACACGCCGCCGGCAGCCTCCCTCCAGAATAGCCACCCGCCGCCCCTCACCGTGCTCCGCGCACACAACCGCCTCCATCGCCGCACAAGCACCCCGCCCCCCTCCCTGCAAACCGACCAATCATACCGAGCGCCTGCGGACGGACCGCCCGATCAGGACGGGGCAGCCAATCGCCGCTGCGCTCTGACTCCTCCCCGCACCCGCTCCCTTCCTTTTTTCGAAAGAGCGCGAGGAAGCGGCACTGCTATTGGCTGGCGCGGGCAGGGGGCGGGACTGCCGACAGCCCAACGGTCGCCTCGGCTGCCCGCTGCTGCCGCCGGTTCCGCCTCAGGCGCTCCAGCCCTCTAAAAGCCGCCTGCTTTTCGCTTGGGTGCCCACGGTTGCGAGGATTTAAAGGAAGGAGACCTCGATTTACTCCTCTCAGCCGGAGAAAGCTGTCTTAGCGTTAAGCTCGGTGTGCCTCCTGACTCGCCGAGACCTCTGGGTTCACTACGCAGCCTTCCTGCGCAGGGACGCGTTCCTCACCACAGGGCTGTGGGCATGGAACGGGCTGCCCGGGGCAGCAGGCATGGCCCCAAGTTCAAGGAGTGTTTAGATTAACAGGAGTATAAACAAACATCTTGGACCGTTAGAAACTTGTTTTTTTCCTTCTGTATTTAAGATGGGGGATATAATTTTACAAACTGTGTGCATTACCACATTAACTTATGGCAAGTGAGAGAACGATGCTGGTAATAACAGAAAAATGGAGAGGCTACAATTTGATTAGCAAAAATGTTAACAACGTTCATACTAAATAATGGATTAGTGAAATGAGCACTGGGAGCCCAATTCAGTACTGGTGTGAACAGCTGCAGCCTTGCTGACTTGCCTTAAGACTGAATTAGGCTCAGTATTATTGTGAAAAACATTCTTTTTACAAAACACAGGTGATTTTCTGCACTCACACGTGACATGAAAATTTTTGCTCCTAAAAAAAAAAAAAAAAAAAAAAAACCCACAACATTTTTGGCCTAGCACTGACTTCACATCACCCACTTTTGCCCTTTCCACATTCACTGACACTTTCACTCAACTTGTTTGGAAGCAGGAACATGAAAGAAAAGGGATGCAGATAAAATGCTTCAAGCCCTCTGAAGGGAAGCGCGTTCCTTAAGGAGCACTGACCACTATAAACAAGTGCAATTCAAGTATTAATAACAGCAATAATAACCACAATGCAGGGCATTTCCTAGCAAACAGTGGGACTTGGGTTTTGAAGTGCCCCAAAGTGCCAACTTAACTAATACACAGAAAGTAAAAAAAAATTAAAAAAAAAATACAGGAGTGTGGAGTGTACGCACACACTGCTGCTTAGCACATTCAGCTCTCCATCCAGTCCACAGCTTGTTTCATTCTGCATTATTCAAAGAGCTATCTTATGGTGCTTAAGTATTCTTGCTTTAAGAGCCCATTCTTAATCAGCAAACCATGTACTGAATTTTAAGCATGCAATTAAATCTTATGTGGGAATGTCATGGATTCAGGCTAGTTCAAAGACCAGCTGCTTTATCCACAGACTGATGTAAGCTTGTGCTGAAATGTATTTCTGAGTTGAGAAGATGGACAAACAGGATGTCTAAAATCAGTACAGAGATGAGGCTCTGCTTCAAAACTTATTTTTTTTTGTTTCTGTACCTTTGAGAAAGTTGCAAGCAGACAAAATTTAACAACCATCCACTTAATTTTTTGACTAGATGTAAACAGTCTGCCTCCCCCAATCTCCAAAGAATCTGCTGCAAAAGCTCAGATCACTTCTAAGAAAAAGAAAAACAAAAAACAAAAAACACTTAAAATGAGAGACAGTGGAAATAAATACAGGTCCTTGGTCCACAAGTCCATTTGCTACTGACACCCAGTCTCAAGAAATGGATATCCTACTGATCCATCTCCTTGAAATAAACATTAAGGCAGGGCAGTAACTTCTCTAAAGGAAGAAAAGGTCCAGGCTAGAAAGGCACAGAGAGGTTCCTCATGCTGGGCATTCTCATGAGATCTACTTCATCCCTCTTTTCATAACAAATCTTTCCACCCTTGCAGCTGCTTTCATTTCTGGCTCAACTGTTGCTGCATTCCTCCTCTTTGGCAAGCAAGGCTGATGAGCCCTCTCACACAGGCCTAACAAGGTAAAGTCTGTACAGTGCTTAGAATGTGCAAGGTGCAACGTAAGTGCTAAATGGTCTTATTCTAGAGATTAATGAATTAAAACTCCAAAAAAAATATATGCACTGAGGTAACTATTAAGTACTACATTCTCTCATGATTAAAAAATAACCCATAGAATTTCCTTCTATAGAAAAGATGAATCCTGCATATATGATTAAAGTGGTAATACCTTATTTATGTCCTGTCAAGCTTCCTGCAGCTGTAGGGTGATCTTTTAGTCAAAGCAAAAGCACAGAAGAGAGCTGAAGTTCTCAGAGAAACTAAGAACTCTGCAGTGATGTTTTTTTCAAATACTTCTGTGATACTTCCAACGCTGATCTGCTTTCACCCATTACATCTGGAGAAGCCGGTGTCTCATAAAGCAGAAGCAATATACACTTAAGTTTCATACCTAGCATTCTGACAAACAGCCAGAAATATCTGCTAGCAAGGGTAAGAAGAATAATAACGTACATGAGCTCTCTGTAAAGCTCAATTGTTGTCCCTTAGTGAAATCCATGCTCTATTATTTGGGAAGTAAGACTGCGTGTAGTAACTAATGTACAAGCTCTCATCAGAACATTCAAGCTATCAAGTACAAATGGATGATCCTAATGTTCAGAAAAGGATCACTACAATTACTAAACACTGCACATACTTTTCATTTCTGTGTCAGCTTTGGCCAAAAAGAGACAATGTGATTCAATGGACTAATGATTTGGTTGACAAAACCAAACTCTGTGTTCCTATGCTCCGCATGACAGGTTTAAGATGTGGCAAAAAGGAGTAGTCCAATAGCACCCTAAACAATAAGTAAATACTGCTGCAAAATGCTGATGCAAGTACCAGAATTCGACTGACATTCACGTGTTCAAAAAACGCTGAAAACGTCCCAACGAGGTATCCTGTTTCTGTTCAAACAGTAACAGACATGATAGGTCCTGCTTAGTGGTTTCATTCAGTTACTTCCCTCTGGTTCTTCTGTCAGATATTCCCTTCATCGATGCTCTGAAGCTGAAGTCTTTGGCTAGCGTGGGGCCTGATGCCACGCCGTGTGTTCATACTGCTTCCTGGCAGAGTCCGCACAGGAAACACAGCTCCTGGTAAAGCACCTTCCCCAAACAAGCTGATTTTCACATCAGCTTCAATAGCTCTTGCTAAACTGGATGCATAACTGTCCAGAGATTTATGAACATCAGCTTTTACATGAAGAACAGAATTCTTTGCAGTTTCTGAAAGGAAAAAAAAACAAAAAACAATAAATAAGAACAAACAGCATGGCTGTGCAAACACATCAGTATCGATTCATTTGTAAAGGTATGACCAATGCCTTCTGTAAAGTAACTACCCTACACAGTGCATTTACCAAGAACATCCATTATTTCCAAACCATTCAATGAACACAAAGCTTCAGCACAAACATAAAATTAAGTAGAGAAAAATTCCCTCCAATTCAACTGGAAAAAAAAAAAAAGTGAACCGATGAAACAAAGTGTTTATATACGTATGTTTAATTTCCAATTAAGTGTATGTTGAATGATTTTCTGAACCTGATGAGGGGAAACAGTTTTAAACTAAGAAATGGGAGATTTAGATTACATGTGAGGGGGAATTTTTTCACTGAGAGGGTGGTGAGGTGCTGGCACAGGCTGCCCAGAGAAGCTGAGGATGCCACATCCCTGAAGATGTTCAAGGCCAGGTTGGATGAGGCCATGGGCAGCCTGAGCTGGTGGGTGGCAGCTCTGCCCATAGCAGGGGGATTGGAACTAACTGATGTTCGAAGTCCCTTCCAACTCAAGCCATTCTATGATTCTACTCTATGCATGCTCTTATTATTTCATAATTTTAAAAATGAGATAGGTTTTATCATTACTCAATGCTTTGAGGTATTCTGCTCATTTGTGCACTGACCACAATTATTTATTGTTTATATATTGTTATTATAATTGGTATTATATATTGTTTATCATTATTTAATAAATTCAATCATTCATTACCAAGAATTCTAGTTCACACTCCCACAACAATCAGCCTACCTTAAACTAACCTTGCAACACTTGCAGATCACCACAGTAACACTTTGTTACTGCAGTATCAACATGAGCTGACTGAAAAAAAAGTTGCACATGATTCATCTATTTCCAGCTGTATCTACTAAGAAATGCGGCCAGTTGATAAAGTTAAAAACAAACAAAAATAGAAACAACACAATTATATTGAGATCAATGAAGTCTGTAAATAGAAAGATTTCAAGGCCATGAATGACAAAGTTGAGTGTAGGCAGCAAATGTGAAGCAATGAATTAACAGAATCAAAGTACGAAGGCAGGAAAACACATTCTTTAAGAAACATAAAACAGACTGCAATAGTAGCTAGGCAAGTGGAGTCGCAGAGAGGATACCACTGTGCAGCACAGATGCAGTGAAGGGAATCCCAGCTTCTAACACTTGTCCTTGCCTGTTGCTGCTTCAGAACTGGAAGAAAAACTTGCTCTTACTCTCCACTGTGCTTGCATTAGGTGTCAAGTCTCTCAAAGTGAACAGTCATTAGATATACTGGAGTACCTCTCCTACAAAGAAAGGTTGAAGGAACTGGGCTTGTTTAGCTTGGAGAAGAGAAGACTCTGAGGAGACCTCATTGGGGCCTTCCAGTACTTGAAGAGAGCATACGAACAGGAGGGGGAAATACAGTTTGCGTGGGTTGATAATGATAGGACAAGGAGGAATGGTCTTAAACTGAGGCAGGGGAGGTTTAGATATTAGGAGGAAGTTTTTCACACAGAGGGTAGTGACGCACTGGAACAGGTTGCCCAAGGAGGTTGTGGATGCCCCATCCCTGGAGGCATTCAAGGCCAGGCTGGATGTGGCTCTGGGCAGCCTGGTCTGCTGGTTGGTGACCCTGCACATAGCAGGGGGGTTGAAACTAGATGATCATTGTGGTCCTTTTCAGCCAGGCCATTCTATGATTCTATGATATGTTCTCAGGCAATTCTAAAGGTCCCGAGAGGCTGAGAAGGTAAAATATTTTGTTCTGAGTGTTTTCATACTTACCCCTAAGCCCACTTTTAATTTGCTCTACTTCATCTTCAAATGTCACTGAACTCCTTCTTCGCGGAGGACAGACACAATGTGGAAGAGAAGGTCCATCTGAGCTATAGTCTTCAAGAAGCATTGTGTCTGTTCCTGAAACAAAGCAAGTGTTCTCAAAGTGAAAAAGAGCAATGCTCAGATACAATAACAAAATTACATGAAGAAAGAAACCAAAATGTTAAGTAGAGGCAAGATCTTTCCAGTCTGCAAAAAAAAAAAAAATGTCTAAACCCAGCCTTTGTGGGCAAATTTTAGTTTTAATTAAATACTGCACACAAAACAAATGAGGTCAGAGTTTTCATGGAAAGGATTTGGAATTCTTTTCTCATTAGTGATATAAAATCTCAGGTGGCTACAAAACACTCAGCTTCAGAGATTATAACATCAATAGGACATGATGCAAAGATGAAACCTTACTTTCTGCTAATAAAGAGTAAAGCCAAGGGCAACTTCCACACCTGACCAAGAAAGAGGCTAATGATGGTCACCTGAGAGGCAGTCAACTACAGCTGCCAAATGTAACGCTTGTAGTCAGACCAGAATGGAAATCTGAATTGGAGACTTTTTCCTCTACAATTTAGTTTTTGACAACCTATTTCGATTTTCTCAAGTGTATTTTAGTAGGAAAAAAATGCTTGGTAGCTGGGAATAATTTTTGTCCAATTAATTCATTTTCAGTTTGTCAGTCATTTCACCTCTCAGTATTTGCTTTGCACCTTTTTGATGCTGTTTTTCGATAAAACAGTGTTTGAGCACAAGGAAATCACCTTGACATCTCTGCAGTGCTTTCATACAAACAGCAAGACTGTAGCCTAGTCCTCCTTCGTGATGCTGGTGTCTTGGCTTACAAGGGGGAGACAGAGCAAGCATTCTGGGGAGATGACAAAACAATGCTGAGTGAGCAGCCTTCAGAGAAGCCAGTGTTCCAAGGTACAGTTTCCTTATGTGTGATCTTCACCACTATTTTCATGGCATCCTGTGACATGGCACCAGGCCAGCACAAAGAGTCTTCACAGGCTTCTTAACCCCTCCAGATAGTGACTTCACATCCCTCTTCATTCATTTCAAGAATTTTGGTTCCCATATTTATTCTTTTTTGCAATAAGGAAGTGCTCCAGGAAGTAAGAGAAAGATATTGCTTGAAATGCAACTCTAGACAACATACCTCTCCATAGGTTTAATCTTTGTTGACAATTCATCGATAAAAAGTTTATCAGTTCACTATACAAAGTGAAATTTGCGTGTTCTGCCTATGACTCCCTTAAGCACACAATGAGCTGATGTTCTAACACATTAGCATAAAACATAAGCATAAAACACGTTAGCAACTTTCTGTGTTGTTCTGTGGATCAACTGGGGTTTGAGCCTGTCTACTGAAAATAGTTCTCCATATAGATAGATAGATATACATGATCTCCATAGGTACCAGCGTACAATGGAAGGATGCTACTAGCAAAGTAAAAGATACTTTCTTCTTTGAAGCAGAACTTCTAATGGCCTAAGGTACAAATTTGGTTTGTTCATTTAGACTGCTCAGTATCATTCCTCAAATGATGGTAACATAATGATTTCAAACAAAAACAGGTTTCACCTGATGTTACTCTCATTTGTAACACACAGTTGCACAATACTCACAGCAGGCATAAAAATACCAGCATAAAATTACTATCTAAATAAAACCCAGCTCCATAGATTTCCTTTAGAAATGCAAGAAACAAACCTCTAGTATCAAGCAATTGTTAAAAGATCTCCCTCTGGTGTCTCTAAAGCAGAACTACTCTTTTAAAATAATTACAGATCAGTGAAGGAGTGGTAGCTGAAATAACTGCCAGAAAAATCTAGTTAGTTTTAGATAGAAAAATCACTGGCAGAAATCTTTCTCCCTTCTCCAAACTACCTTCAATTCAGAGATCTTAAGTAATGACACAATCACAAGCTGAAACCATCTGATGCAGTTATGTTTAGACTGCAGGGTCAGTGTGACAAAGCCTATTACAAACTAGGAATCAGAGAAGCATTCTCCACGTCACTTTGTTGCTGTTTCTTGTGAATACAGGTGAAGTTCAAGAAGAATGACAGAAACTGAAGGAGAAAATCATAAGCAGTATGTCCCATTCCCAGGAAACATTAGCAAGGGAGGGTCATTATTCCTTGCAAGAAGTTATACTGAGAGCAAGGAAGGAAAAGAACTGCAGCGGTTTTGTTGTGACAGCTGGAACAGATGCTTCATGTTTTCCATCCATCAAGAGACATCCAAGTATGTAAACACCGACTATCCCAGAGAGTTCTGCCAAGTTACAAGTGCAAACTCCTGCCCGAGAAGAGAGAACAAGAGCCTTTATTTACCTGAATCCTGTGAACAGCTGAAACCTGTGTCTCCTGTGCTGCTGCTGTTTCCTAATGTCCGCCCACCTGCCATGAGGGCAGTGAGATGAGGGGATAGTCCCAAATCTGCAAAAGAGTTTCATTCTCATTACTCAATGGATGGTTAAGTGGTCTGTAAGAGTAAGTACTTATAGTAACACTGATTCTACCACCTCATTTACTCTTGTATCTGTAAAACTTACTGTTCTTCCAGAGTGCACAGCATCTGGACCTTCCATCTTACAAGTAAAATATAAGATGAGCTGCTTTCAAGTATCTTTGGAGTCCTTCCATACGACAAGTCTCTCTTCTACCCACATTATCTCTCTCCCACTCCATTTGCAATTGCATGTTTTATCAGCAAGGCAGGCTGAACTGTGAGCACACACACCCACAGAGATGGGATCACTTGCCAGACACCTGCTAGCCAGAGAACAACCTGGTAGCCACCAGCAGGTAGGACAGCCCATTAGCATGGCAAGAAATTTACTAGCAATACCAGGGCACTGAGAGAGCTAGCTTCTTTCAAAACCTCAAATATAGAATATGGGAAGGATGAGAATCTAGAATTCTTACATAAGTGCTGTCTTTGGATCCTGCATAAAGGTGTATCTTTTTCTTCTTTTTTTTTTCCTATCACTGTCCAGCTGGTACGCCCAATACATTTGTAACTATCATCAGTTTCTTATCACTTGGAAAGAGAAATTTTTCCCATCTTTTCCCTCCCACCTCAGTTCCTAGATTCGCATCATCTCCTGGATGTAGATTTGGCAAAGGGAGGAGCACTAGAAATCTCTTGCAGCTTGTGATGTGATGCAGCTGCATAACTCCTTCCTTTACATGAAGTCTCTTCCAGTGACTCCAGGTTACAAAAACACAACAGATGCCTTACTATTCTTCCCTTCTATATTTTGGACCTTCCTTCCCAATTAAGTAACTTTAGTTATCACCTCTGCCTGGAACAACCCAAGGAACCATATGAAAATGTCTTATTTTTTGAAGATTCTAAGCAGGACCAGAAAAAGGATCAAACAAAAAATTTTTTAAAAAATAATAATCAGAATTTCATTGCATTGCTACTTAAAAAAGAAGTTCTGAGCAGCTGAAGCTCTTAGACTGCAACTAAGGGACACGCCAAATAGGTTTACTACTTTACATAGTTCTACAGCGTTTGGGATCTTTACAATCACAAAATCTGAGTTTACAGAAGTACTGTAGTATAGTAAGAGCAGTATAACTTCTGTGAACCCAAGAGTTATAGTATAGAGCTAGTGTGCAGTATAAGTAGCAAAATCATAGAATCCTAAGGTTGGAAAAGACCACTAAGATCACCTAGTCCAACCATTATTCCATCACCACCATGCCAACTAAACCATGCCCCTCAGTGCCACATCTGCATGGTTCTTTACAATCTTTAGGGAGGGTGATCACAAAACACACTGTCAGTAGTGCTTAAGTCTCAATAGAACAAAATGGCAGTTATGAGAGAAGAAGAGTTTGAGAGAGTAATTAAGTTAATAAAAATAATCTATGTCTCCTCTGGCAGGGAAAACCTTACTGTCCTAAGAGGACAAGGTTATCTCCCACAGAAAATACATTCTCCTTTCAAGTGTCCATGATAAACCAAATAAGATTACTGAAGCCTCCAGAAACATCCCACCTTGTTTACAGAGCTCTGAAACGTGCCAGCTAGACACGTTTGCTTTTACTGGTATATTAAGAATGTCTTACCTGTGATCCTATTGGAAATGCTGAATAACCTTGAGGTCCTATGCCGCTGAACAAACGACTCACGATAATACCGGTCCCCAAAGCACATTCCTAATAGTTCCTTGCGCACTGTTTTGTTCCACAGTCCATAAATTAACGGGTGGCAAATGGCACTGGAAAAGGACAACCACGTAGCTAATGTCTCCAAGGCAGGGGAAATACTATTTTTTCCCCAAAGTGCCTCTGATGTAATTACTACCATGTAAGGTCCCCACGTAATAACAAAAGCACCAATGACAACCAAGATGGTTATGAAAGCTTTGCACTGGTTGGCAGAGTAGACAACCCCTTGGAAAGCATTCCTTCGGCTTCCTGAGGAGGATGTGGAAGTGCTGGAGTTCTTCCTCCCGTTCCTCTGGGAGTCCTCCTCCACAATGACAACACTGCCACAGTGGATTTTGCGGGCTTTAATCCTTGCCACACGGAATATGAACCCATAGCAGATCATCATGACCACGAAAGGCAGCAACGCACACCAGACCTGCCAAAAGGCAGTGTAACCAGCCTCTTTGTGCCACGCTGCTACACACATCCACTTGAACTGGTCAAACTCCAAAGATGACCAGCCAAAGAGGGGAGGGAGGCAGCCAATGAGGGAGTGTAGCCACACATACACAAGAGCCACCACTGCTCTGTTGCCTGTAATCTTCATTGGGTATACCATAGGGTAAAGGACAGCATAGTACCTGGTGAACAACAAAAAAAAGGCAACAGGAGCACAAATCAAGAACAGCAAAAAACATATTTTAATGATGTTGATATATGGCTCTTTTCTCTAAAGTTCAACATACGCTTTTCTATAAACCTCAAGGCGAATTATTTTTAACAGGAAGACTGTTAAGAGTAATTGAACGTAAGAATACAGAGCTTTGCAGGGAAGAGTGTAAAACTGGGCTGAAGACACACAGAACTATTAAATCATAGAATCACAAGGTCGGAAAGGACCTACAAGATCATCCAGTTCAACCATCCACTCATTACCATTGCTATCACAAGCTACTAAACCATATCTCGTAGCTCCTCATCCAGATGCCTCTTACAATCTGCCCTTGGTGTGAATTTTAAATTGTTACTTCTTGTTTCTCAAGTAACATATTACTACAGCATTGTTTCCTTTAAAAATAGCTAGATGCACGTCAGCTTTTTATATTATCAATTACAATGCTTTCTTCTGCTCTGTGTGAAAGTTTCACACTAAAGGAAAATGACATTGCAACTGCACGCAGTGTCATCCAAGCAGTGCTTCTCCAGCCTGCAAACAGCCAACAAGTCACCCTATGGAATGACTGAGCAATTGGTTAGCCCTCATTACAAAAAGCCACTTACCGGTCTATGGCTATGAGTCCAAGAGTAAGCATGCTGGCTGAGCTGATGAGCATGTAGAGAAGGGCTGAGAAATTGCACCAAACAACTCCAAAGATCCATTCCCGCCTAATAGAGCTGGTGACAACGAAAGGCAGCACCAGGACAGAGAGCAGAAAGTTGGAGAGGGTCAGGCTGAACACAAACTTGTTGCTCAGCGTGAGAAGGTAAGACTTCCGATAGAGGGTGACAACAATGATGAGGTTGCCCAAACAGATGAAAACGGCAATGATGATTATAGCAATGGCTTCAGTGACTCTGACCGCGCCGTCCTCCTGCGTGGTGAGGTTCCTCAGGCCGTTCCCATTGCTGAGGGAAGAATTGCTGCTCATGGTCAGAGTGAGCAGAGCAGGAACGGCCAAGACATGCTGAGCACCTAGAAGCAGAACAACACCGCTTAGAAATTTTCCAGCAACATTTCCTCACACTCCCTCCAAAGATTGGGAACTCCTTTGTCTGCATCAATTAAACCTTACCTGTAGGACGCAGGAAACCATTTTAGGTAGGAAACCAAAGGGGCAGGAGATTGCCAATGGATACACCAGAGGTCAGCAGCAGAGCCAAGCCTAGAAAAGGGAAGAAACTATCTGAAAGACAGAAAGAGGCAAGTGGAACAAGAGGAAACAAAGAAAGTTAGCACACTTTATTTATAGATTTTCTAAGTATTTTTATTTTTTTTCCTAAGCCATACCAGCCAGCTGTATGTCTAGCCTGGAAGAAATAAAAAGGATGTAACTAAATCTTTGATTACTTGAAGGAAGGTAAGCATTTTTTTTTAAAAAAAGTTTGGCCAGTTGATCTTCATTGTTATGCTGTGTTTTGCATATACAGCATCTGCTGGTGTCTGTGGATGTCTGGCTACTCATACTCATATCCTGCTGACTCCTTCTTAACAGTTTCCAAGTAATGTCCAAAGGCTCAGGGATCATTGCATGTATTTTCTCAGTGTACTCCCTCCACGTTCATCATCACATTAGCTACAACAGCAATTCTAACGCAACACCGAAGGCCTGGCATAAAGAACCCTTCAGTACAAAGGGCACAAAAGACAGCTGGCATTAAGCTGTAGCCCACCCTCCAGCAGTACCCACAAACCCTTACTCTCGTGAAGTTTCAGTGCTCAGCACCCAGCCTCCTGCTTCACCACCCCCTTTGGTCAAACCTCTACGTTCCCCTCAGCTCTTCAGCCCCTTCTCCCCACTACCTCCAGCCTGTGCTCCAACGACCTTCATCCAACCCCACCACCCATCCGCAGCGCAACACACCAGAACAAATAACGTTAAAAGTGCAAATACAAAAAACTAGAAAACAAGAGTCTGATTTCAACTTCTCAATGCAGAGTTACTATTCACACCCCTAGGAGACAGAGGGGCTGAAGTTCCCTCGCCGTGACGGTGCCCACCTGCATCCCCGGCGGACCGGGAGCGCTCGGGGCACCTCTGTCTCACCCGGGAGACTTTCGCGGCCCCGGGAGCGCCGTCAGGCCGCAGAGCCATCTTTTACTCATTTTTTATCCGTGCTTTCTCCTACGACTCTCACCGAAGTCGCCGCGGGGCCACGCTTTACACCGTGCAGCTCAGCTCTCCTCGGGGCATTCGCCGCCGCGCGTCCCTCGGGGCTGCCCCGTCCCGCCCCACCCCGCCCGAAGGAGTACGGCACCCCAAGGCCGGCGGGCAGCGCGGGCAGGGCCGGGGGATCGCCTCCATTTTGCCCCCGCGCTCCCTCCGGCAGCGAACAAAGGCCGGAGGGGAGAAGCGAAGGGAGCGCTTCCCGCAGGCCACGCCGCGCATCCCTCGCCTCACTCGGTTCCCGCCCCGTCCCGCGCGGCCGTACCGCACGCACTCACCCGCCGCCGCCGCCGCCAGGGCGGGAGGTGTCGGGTGTCGGCGGCCGAGCCCCGCCATGCCCCCGCCCCGCGCTCGCCCCTCTCCCCACCCACCCGCCGCCTCCTTTCTCTCTCTCGCACCGCCCCCGCCGCCGGGTGCGGGCTGCGGCTGGAAGGGTTCGACCCGCGGCTACGGCCCGGCCCCGCCGACGGCGCACAGCCGCGGGCCGGTTTTACACAGGGAGACGTCAGTGGACACAGCGAGGGGCAGAGCGTGGCCAACCGCCCTCACAGCCCCGAGCGTCGGCGCACCGCCGCGCAGTCGGGCGGAGGCTGCCGCTGCCTCCTAGGGAGCGCAGCACGGGTGTGGCCGAAGGCGCGAGGGACAACCGTGCGCCGCGCCCGCCTGTCCTTAGCGCCAACGTTCCCCCGCAACCACGCGGGACTTAGCGCTTGCCGCGCTGTCACACCTGGTCACTTTTAAGGACCTCCCCCCGGCCGGGCGCCGCCAGGAGTGGGGCACAGGCGGGAGAGACGCGCAACCACCGCCCGCACAGCGCCGCGGCACGCCGCTGCCGCACGTCTTCCGGCCTGCGCGTGCGGCGCCGCTCTCCCGGAAGCGGAAGTTCGGTGAGGCGGCGGTTGCGGACAGGCGCCGTTGCCGTGAGGGGCGCGCGGCCGTAGCGGAGGGGCCGGGAAGGGCAGGCGAGAGTGAGCCGCCGCCGTTGTCCCTTCCGGCCTTCTCCTCGGAGAAGGTCGCGCCCTCCGTCGTCGCCATGCACCCCGTTTTCCAGAGCAGCCGGCGCGACTTCACCTTCGGGCCGTGGAAGCTGAGCGCCGTCTGCACGCACATCATGAAGTCGGCGCAGGCCGAGAGGTGAGGCGGGAGCGGGGCGCCGCGGGGCCGGGAGCCCGCCTGTGGGAACGGGATAGTCGGAGGTACCGCCGCGTCTGAGAGGGGAGATGTTGTCCGAACACAGCGTGCCCGGCACCTCAGGCATCTTATTTTATATTTTTCCCTCTTGAAGAGTCTGGGCTGGTTTCGTTTACGGGCGGCTATCAGAATCTCGATAGTGACGGCTGTCGGTAGTGGAGGTCCGGCCCTCAGCTGTCAGGCACCCGCCGCTGACTGGAAGCTTGATTGTTTTGATTATCTTTTAAGGACCGTTAAGATGCTTTTATATGTGGTGCGCATGCTCCTGTAAGTTATTTCATAATAACATAAAAGACTTCATTAAAAATTGATTGTTTGCTTTCTCCTCGCAGTAGTAATTTCCACTGTTGTCAGACTGTTGGATGAAGCACTGCTGTGTCAGCACTGAGTGCTTAAGTCAGATTTGCTAATGTGGAGCCAAACAGTTGAGCTATTAGGACCCAAGCTGACCTCGGTGGCAGCTGAGTTTGACAGATAATTCTAGGCTTCCATTTCCAGAATAAGTATGTGGGGAGCTGTGAAGGAAGACTTCAGTTGTGTTGCCCTCAGTTTTTCTATTTGCATGAGTCCATTATCATGAAGTTTTACACTTCGTTTCTGCATTATAAGAAGCCAAGTAAACTTCATTTTTTTTTTCGGTATTATAACAGCATGATGCTTATTTTTTAAACTGCACATCTACCTCCAAACGTGTGGGAATGGTGTTACTAACTCTTGTTTTTATTCTGTGCTCAATACATACAGTAATCTTCACTAAATGCTTTTCCCTAATGATCCTGCAGTTCTTGTAGTTGCAGGTAAGAAAACTTGAATCCCGTATTTTACTGATTCCTCTATGAAGAGGATTCAGCATTCAGTTGAGCAGTGTCCGTGTTCTGCAGGAAAAGAAGGACTGTTACTGCAGTATACTCCGTTTTTCTGACATGTTTGTGAAGACGTATTTCACAAAATGCTGTCTCTTAAAAATGAAGATCTTAGGAATAAAGTTCAGGAGAACATTAACTCTTTTCTTTAAGCAAGAGGTAGAGCTGAACTGCCAGTCTAGAAATCAGGCTACCTGCTGTACACATCTTTTTTTCTGCTCAGTTTCGTTCAGTGGTAGCTATTTTAAATTAAGCAGTTGCCTCTATAACATTTTAGAAGTTACCTTTGTCCTTTTAGATGATTTTCAGGGATGCTGAGATGATCACAATGTGATGAAAAAGGTAGAAAAGCAAAGGTATAATGGTTATGGTACAAGCTCTATAATCTTAATGAATAAGGTACCTAGTGGTAGGGGGGGAATGGTGAAAGTGTATAAAGCATATATTTTGCTAAACAGTATCTGTGTGTGTATAATGCAATGTGTGTATATATTTTTATACATTGTATGTATAAAAAATGATGTAAAACAAGAAGTGAGCTGGAATGGCTTTATATTCTCTGCAGGGATTGTATTTATTCTATTCACAAAGTTCAGTTGGTTCCACAGCTTTCATGATTGGAGGTTATGAATACCAGTGTGCATTTTCTACAAAGCTGGGAAGTCAATAGAGCAGTAGAATCACAGAATCATAGAATGGCCTGTGTTGAAAAGGTCATATACAGTGGTCGTATAATTTCAACCCCCCTGCTATGTGCAGGGTCACCAACCAGCAGACCAGGCTGCCCAGAGCCACATCCAGCCTGGCCTTGAATGCCTCCAGGTATGGGGCATCCACAACCTCCTTGGGCAACCTGTTCCAGTGTGTCACCACCCTCTGAGTGAAAAAAATTCCTTCTAATGTCTAACCTAAGCCTAAAGTAGATGTGTGTTCTACACTGTGCTTTTAATATGCTCTGCCATGGTTGTTTTCAGGCTCTGTTTTGTACCAAAGATGGTAGTATGGGCTGTTGTGCAATGAGTTTAAACTTGCTGATAATAATTACCCTTTCATAAAACTTTCTGACCATCTGCAAAAGTAGTTCTTGGATTATCCAGAGGTTTGTCTGCAATAGGCTGAAAGCTGATACTTCATCCTTGTAATCTTTTTTATTTTTTATTATTTATTTATTTATTTATTTATTTTAATCCTGTGTGAGGCTTTTTTACTCTCCTGATAGAGAAGACAAGCTTTAGGAATAACCTTACAGTGGAAAAGTCACTTAAGATCAGTGATTCTGTAACTCATGTCAAACGATTAACTGGGAAGGTAACAATGTTTTTAAGGCATACTGATTACTGCGGTCTAGAAAATACTTCTAAAGAAATTGTTTTCACTCAACTATGGCTGACTGATGTCTCCTTATTGGACTGCTATTTTTCTTTGCAGACTGGCTGAAGAATTACATATGCCTTCCCTGCCAGAGATGATGTTTGGAGATAATATCTTGAGAATACAGCATGAACGTGGTTTTGGAATTGAGTTCAATGCAACAGATGCTTTAAAATGTGTCAATAATTGCCAAGGTATGATCAAAGTGGCTTGTGCAGAAGAGTGGCAAGAGAGCAGGTACAGTATTTTATCACCAGTGGGCAAGTATTGGTGTGTTGTATGCAAAACTGTTATAAGGTAGTTAAAGCAACAGACAACTCCTGAAGACTGTGTTGTATTTAGTTCTGCCATTGATGCAATCAGTGTGTAATGGCAGAAATCACTTTACTTTATTTTTTGCCGTCATCATCCTATCTGTTACTCAGTGTCAGCTGCATTTTTCAGTTGCTTCCTGGCTTTCTTCAAACTTACTGCATGTTTAACACGGTTTAGTTCTGTTTATGTTTATTCAAATTCATGGGGGCTTACATGTTACAAGAGTGTGTGTACTGGTGTGTAAAAGTGCAAAATGGCTGTTGTTCAACATCTCAGCCTTAGGACTATAGCAGGACAATCACTGTGCATGAGAACTTGTTGTACTGTTTAGTATTTACCAAATGAGTGGCAGAGCTCCTAGGAATAAGTCAAGGAGAGAAGTGAAAGCTGTCTTAAAAACAGGTAACGTTGTTAATTATTGCTGTGTGTTGTCAGCAGAATTATTTCTGTCTATTACTGAAGAAATGATTGTGAACTAAAAACTTTTCAGCAGCGCTTAAAAGTCTTGATTTTTGCCTCATAAGCCTGAGGCAGTGTTAGCAAGAGGAATTTGGGTAATGGTTTTCTAATTCCTTATGATAACAGCTGTTGTGGAAGAACCAAAACTGTGTGCTTAAGTCTTGACATCATCAGTACAGTGCAGACAATACTGTTCTTTTTCTCAAATAGTTAGGGCGTGGTGTGAAAATCATAAAAACTTACGTTGTAAGTTTTTAATAATTACTAGAAAGTGTGCTGTATTCTTTTTCACTTCTTGAGGAGTGAGACTGAGCACACTAAGGAAGTTGTCAAGCCTTATGATTGGACTTACACAACTGACTACAAAGGAACATTGCTAGGAGATACTGCAACACTAAAGGTAAGCATTTTTCCCTTGTTGCATGTTGATTACATTTTGTTTCAGTCAAACACAGAGCACTTTTTTTGAAGCTGTCAGTAGCCTTTTATAAATTTTTCATGGTTCTTAGTTTCTGACTTCAAAGTATACCTTGAGGTTTTTCATGTTTCTCATCATATTCTCTTAATCAAATCATGGTTTATTCAAAAAACTTCAGGTTTGGTGGGTGGGTTTTTTGTTTTGGTTTGGTTTGGGGTTTTTCCTCATTTTTAAGTGACAGGCCCTCCCTTGACTTTATTTTAAAATAAGGCTGAAGTTCCCAGCTTCTCATTACTGTATACAGATTGCTGCTACTAAGCAGGTAATCTGTATTACTTCACTAAGATTGTGTTGGTTACAGATCACTAGAATTGCTCTGGAATCAAATGTGCAGCATAAAAGTAAGCTGTCTTGTTGGCCCATGGTCTTTAGGCAGCAGAAATGTATGAGCACATGCAGAGCACAAGATGGAAAATCTTGATTTCTGAGGGAAGTCTTTATTGGAATTCAGGGTTTGCAGTTGGCTAGAAATGCCAATTGCATAGTAAACTGTTTGCAACCCAGAAGGTTTCAAACACACATGAAGCATGAGGCATCTTTGAATATTTCCACGTTCAGCTTGCTGCTGAAGGCTACGAAACCTGTACTCAGATGACTTGTTTATTTAGAACTTTCCATTCTTGGTTCTTGCTTTGCTCAATGTTTTCTC